AAACGAAATGAAAAAATTCCATTCGTTTTCTCTCGAATGCAATGTGTGTTTGAAACAAACGCAATTTTTCGTCACAGTATCTCATGTTCATGTGTGTTGATTTGGCAACAGCATCAGGAGTAGTTCTAAGTGAATTGCGGTGGTGTAATTTGTTAGCACTTCGGTTGTTCGCAGTTTTGTCTATATGTTTTTTTCCATACATGGCAAAAAGTTTGCACGAGAGTGTGGTGACAAACAACGATAAAAAGGGTGTTTTGTTAACACAAATTTAGATAATCGACGATAAAACCGAATGTTTGGCGATTGAGTGTGTCTTGTTTTTTTATAGTTATATTTTTTTGTCCCTAGATGTGAGTCTTTTCAATCAGTGCACACAAAAATTTGCTAGTAAAAATCGAAGTCGTTTTGAGCGAACGATAAAAGAGGAAGTAACAAAAAGTTTTTCTCCTTCGAAACAGTGTTTGAAAAAAATGAGCAAATTTGTCTTGTGAAGATTTTAAAAAATTGTACACAAGAAAAACGAAAACGTTGTGAAAAAAGTCATATTTTTTCTTGTGTCTAACCAAGACTAGTGTTTGTAAGTGTTTTGTCATCTGTTTATAGCAATTTTGCATCTTTTTTCACTTTTTCTTCTCATTTTTTTTCAAACAATTTTTTTTTGGAAATTTCTTAGAAAGTGTCCGTTTACAATCACACAGAAGCACCTTTTTTATTCTCTACCTTTTTGTCATCTGGACTGATGCATTCATTTTTAGAACCTCGAATGTTCGACCATACTTTTTTTTCACTATTTTCAAGCGAATAGCTACTTTTTTCTGTTTTTTTTTTTTACATTTTTTTGGGGGGATCTTCTTTTCAATTTGAACAGAAACTCTGTTTACTTTAGACATATGTATCGAATTGCATGGGAGTTGTTGTTTCCGGAAAAACGGAAGTCGCAAAATCAATAAAATAATCGCACTGAATGCGCACATTAAATATGATTCACACATTTTTTTTCACAAACTCTTCGGAATAGTTTGAAATTTTCGTAGTTATGAGCAACACATAGTGTCTAAAAGACACTCAATGAGCAATATTCAATTTTTGGCACGAAATTATTCAATTTTGCTTAAAATTACGCACAGACGTCGTGTACATTGTATGCTCATTGCCGTCGTCATCGCACCCACCATCAAAGTTTGACGCATAAAATGAGCACACAATAAAACATTCGCGGAAAATTTGAGTCGATGGTGTGAAGCAAACTGAACCATTTGCAGTGCATTAATGATTTGAATTCAGTGAATATGTTAAATGCTTAGAAAATGTAATTTTCCATGCACGGCCGACAAAAGACGACGAAAGTCGATTGAAAAGAGAAAATGGTAACAGTGAACAAACAAGAAAAAAAAAATCAATTGGGTTTTATGTAAATAATTCATCTGCATAGCAGAGAAAGAGTGCTTCATTTACTCTGTACAAATAAGATGTATGAATAGAAGAGGCTAAGAATAGTTTTCAAATCTATTTCACGTGTTTATATAGTTGCTTTCCTTTAAAACAACATTAACCAGCATAAAAAAATACAACAGCAAAGTGCACTGTGAGGATGGCAGAGTAACCAGTCCACGAAGAGGTCACGTAGCGTTTTTAATGGCATAGTTTAATGTCAAACATTGATTTAGATAAACGGACATCAAAAGAAATGAGAAAAATACACAAAAATTTTAATGCACGAAAAATGACTGCGAGATTTTTGAACTAACATTCATTTTCACGCGAAAAAAGTGAGAGAGAGCGAGAAAAATGACATATTCAATGCCATATTTTTCCTAGAAATAGACAACATCGGATGTATTACGGTGTATTTAGAATGCAGAAGGTCATACACATAAACCTCTCTCTACACACGCTTTTGCTTCGTTCGCGTTGCTCGCACTCATTCCCCAGGCATTGGGCCACCTTCTTTTTTTTATTATTTTCTTGCGATGCGAACGACTAACTCTCCCACTTTCTATATATATATATCTGTATGTGTGTTTGGAATGTGGAAAATATTGTTCGGTGGTATGCTGTGTTTCATGTCAGTACCACCACCCGTCCACCCTCTCGCCGTCGCCACCAAATATATCGCTCAAAAAAACCGAACGAACGAGCTAGTCATTTCTATGCCATTCATATATTTCAATTGAAAACGACTGACGTTCTCTTTTTTTATTCTTTGTTTCAGTCATTTTGCCATTTTTCAAATGCCATAAATTCCATGAGTTTTTACGTTTCGAGAATGTAATTATCCGAAAGAGGTAGTTTGAAGTTCTTAACGTTGTTTGTTGCTCTCTTGATGACATCTACTGTTTATTTGATTACGCTCTCGTTCAATCGTGTTCCCATATTTCGGGACGTACGTGTTTATATACACAACATTTTTTGTTACATAGTAGTTGCCCAATTCGATAAAGCTCCACTTATTGTTTCGAATTTACAGAAAGTTGCTTTTCTTCGGTTTTTGTTTTGTTTGGGTCGACTATTATATTGTGTTCGTGGTTCACCTGACCTTCTTTTCGAACCATTCCGATTATGAATTGTTTATGGGGCACACTGTTCGGTGTGGCTTTTCTTTGGATTTTTTCGGTTTGAATTACGAAAACGTTCAACGATAACGCCATTTATTAAAGCATGATTGTGATTAATTATCACATCCATTCACTATACGTGTTCAATTTCTTCTTCTTTAGATTATACTTATGATAATACAAAAAAAACGATTTTTTTAAAACTTTTTTTACGATTCTAACGGGTTTCTCGACGAAAATTGGAACATTTCAACTTCCTCATTATGTAGTTAAAAGTATACCCCAAACGATTCTATCCACATATGCTCACGTAGCGTTGAAGTACTCGGAATATGTGTCAATTTGGCCAAAGTGAAACGATAAGAGAAATGTATTTAAAATTTAATGCCGTTCTCTTTCTCTCTCTATGTGTTCGACTATATTTAGCTTCCAGCCGCTTATTATCGATCCAATCGTAAACGACTCAAAATGCATACGATTTATCGATTTCGGTTGAACTACAGTAGCCTAGTCGTATCGTTAACAACATTTGAAAGAGTGCGAATGTGGAACATCACTAACTTGTCATGATGCGGTCACTGCAAAATGTTTGAAGTAAATTTTAAATGATTTGTGTCGATGAACATGCGACACATTTCTGGCATCCATTCAACATTTTACATTCAAAATAATTCGAGTAATGATAACCGACGTGGCACACACAGAGAGGGAGATTCTGATGGATTTGTCGTGTCATTGCTCGACGAATTAAAACGAGAAACTGAAAACCATTTTAAATATTTTAAACTTCAATTATCTAACTGTTGACCCGTATGCATGTGCAAGCATACAACTTTCACATAAATTTCGTTTTTAATTAATGCTCTCGCCTCAACATTGTATTTTCGGACGGAATATAGCGTGAGTTTTGGTGATGTGCCAAGCAGTCAGTGTGTGTGTTTAGAATGACATTTGACACTATTGAAATTTATGATTTTATTTTATTACTTTTGAGCTTTTTCGTGTGCGCTCATTCAACGAAACCAGAGCATTATTACATTTAAATCGATTCATTTGCATGATTTTTTTTTTCCGGTGGATTTTTTCGACGATATATCGTCTCTATAGAGAAAATAGGTTTTTAATGTTTTGAACGGGAAAACTTAAAGTTTTTGTGGAAATAATTGAAAATTTTGGTTTTTAAGTTAATTCTTCTTTAAAAATTTATATTTTGATGACTGATGATGATCGAGCGAGACTGTGTTGAGAAGAAGATAGAACTGATTTTCATTTGAAAATTTTATTTTTTGAATTACTTTCGTTTTACTGTCTGCGTTCAAAAGTTGAACAATTTTTTTGCATTTTCATAGTATTTTAAAATGTCCATAATTTCTTCGTCCGTTGTGTGTTTCCTTTTAGTATTTTGTTGGTACCATAAAACACACACACAATAAAAATCTAGAAAACATATCATCCGACGTCAATTCTGAAACAATTCCCATTTGAGTCAGTCATTTGAAGTCCGAAACGTAAAAAGTTCGTAAGAAGAATGTCGTTTGTTTTGCAAACGGTTGCTGGAATATTGCGTGGTAGTGGTTCGCCAGTGGATAATGTAATTGGTACAAATCGTGGTTGTACGGTTGGCGGCATCAGTAGCGGCGGAAGTGCTTGTGGTTGTCATAACCATCCGAATCGATGTTGTCACAAAGCTGATTTGTTGGCTGTACGAAATTCATTTTCCAATTCATCGTTTGAATGCATGAATGACGATTTAAATGACTGACATCGATCCAATTGGCCGATGAACAAGCAAAAACCGTGAGTTTTCCTCGCTTTGAGCTCTCTTCCCCCCACCAACGATGTTGTTCGTGTCTGTATACAAAAAAAAAATATGTTATTATTATTATTGTGCTCTCATTTTCGTATGTTTGTACATATGTTGCTGCATTTTTTTGCTTTGCAAATAAAAAAACAGTGTTTGATGTTCGATGTTCGTGTGTGTGTGTGTGAATATTGAAAGGGAATAAAAATCGATTTGAAATGAGAATCAATAAAGAACGCAGCAAAAAAGGCCCAAGCTACGAAGTAAATTGACGAGTTCAATCGAGAGTTCGTGAGTGTTTTCCGTAATGACAACCTGAAAGTGGTCCACTCGTAAAACCGTGTCGACTCGTAAAATTGGAAATACCAATAAAATCAACAATGTATTATGGCACATGTTAGCCCCGCATGCTTGCTTATGCTCCACTCACGGCTGGACTGCACGAATAAAACACATTTTACCCATCTCTATTACTCCAAAATGACTGTATATAAACAGATATTGCATGAAATGGCATTTAGCCACATTACTCTATTTCTTTAAGAAGTCCCTGTTCCTATTTCCTACATTTTTTCTGACTTTTTCTATTTTTTACACATTTTTTTGCACAATTGGCTAACGGATTTTTTTTTTACCTCTTGCAGACGCAGTGAGTTTTTGGGATGTTTATCGGTGCCGGTAAAATCGGTAGCATCTGCATCTGCATCATCATCAAAGGAAATTAATGGATCGTTTAAATTGCAACCAAAATCGTGTCTAACGGTCAATACGCCGCTGATAGCAATGGGCGAAAATTCACAATCAAGTGTTGACGAGGCGATCAACAATGACGATGGACTTGGCACAACACCACTTACCCTATCGAAAAAGGCAATCCATCAACGTGATGCGGATGAGAATTTATTTTTAAGATTTTTAGAACTTGATCCACCAATTGAATCAGCAACACCACAACCACCGCCAACACCACAAACCGGTGAACTACGACGTAAATCAACATTAAAATCCAAAGAGCATCCGGCTGTATCGAAAGAACATCCGGCGGCTGTGCAATCACACAATCAAAATGGTCGAACACCGTTTACGATAACAAAAAAATTAACACGAACGGCCGAGAAAGGTTTTGGCTTTTCAATTGTATGGACACATCCACCGCGAATTGAAAAGGTCGAACAAGGTTTATCGGCCGATCGATGTGGTATTCTTCCAGGCGATTATGTGATATTTGTAGACAAACATAATGTGGTGACAATGCCAGAAATGGATATTTTGAATTTGATTAAAACACAAGGAAATACATTGGTATTGGAAATTTTTCGACGATCAAATTCAGCACGGCCCACAACAAATGGCATCAATGCACGTGTACCAAGTTTGACAAATTCAATGAATGCCAATATGATGGCAACACATGCATCAAGTTTGTTAAATAACAACGATGACGTTTCATCGGAATTTGCAACGCCAAAACAATCGACCAGTTCGTTGGCCGCCCGACCAATGACCGCATGCTCCAATATCTCACTCACACTGGAATCAACGAAACGACGGTTACAACTGCCTCAGGTAAGCATTCGAAAATTATGATTTTTTTCTTTTGAATTCATGGACAATCGAACTAATTACTTAATTTCTCTTTCAATTCACAGGTCACGTTTAGCAAAGAGGTAGGCTGTGGTGTCATTGTATAAATTTTCACACATTACCATCCGACTCGCTCAATATATATCGGGCGAACTCACACATACAAAACAGGGTTCAAACACATCTCGTTCGTTTTAAGCTTAATTTATTTAATTAATATAAAATTCATTATTAGTTTTCATTTGGTTATTGTTAGTTTATAAGTTTTCTTGACGTTACTTTTTTCCACTTTTGTTTTCTGTTTCATTCGATGATGACTTATTATTTATTGTGTAAATAAAAATGCTTCGAGTTTTTTTTGTTCGTTCCGTTCCCATTTTTCATTTTCGTTTTCACCTTTTTAATTTATTGTAAATTATTTATTACACCACACCAAAAGATATACGCTTCTAGTTGTTAGACACAAGTTTTGTTGTTGAGAAGGAAAAAAAGAGTGAAAGTACGCATAATTTTAATCGATGACAAAGTGGCCAGTCGCAGCCACTATAAAATACTTAAAAAACGCACATACGAAACTTCGATTCACCGGAAACGGAAAAAACGGAATCCACGCTCAAAATTATGCACAATCAATCCTCTTTTTTGCTTAAACAATTCAATTAGTTTCATGCTAATTTTCAGTTTGTTTTCTTAAGTTTATTTTTAAGGCTATGATTTAAAAAAAAACACACACACAAAAAGATTTATTTGATCAAAATTAAGCACTTGAAATACGTACAGCAACAATTTTTAATTTATTTTTATTTTTTAAAATATTATTATTCGCATTCAATGGCTAATACACCAAAATATGAACCATTTTCGATTTTTTTTGGCTGTAATTAAATTTAATCATTTCTTTTTTTGTCTCGAGTGTGTACACATCTATTTATCTATCGATTTTGGTTCATTTGTATATACACACACACATTTAAATATGAAATTATCACGTTGCTTTGAGTTATTTTAATTTAAAGAAAAGAAAAACTATTCGCATTTTAAAATTTAAATAAATTAGAATTGTATGAAGAAAAAAGATACGGAATGATTCCGAATCGGAATGGAATCCAAGTTCGCATTCGTTTGCCTTTTTGTTTGTACTGCGTTTTATTATTATTTAACAAATGACGATCAGGTATCATTGTAGCTCTTAAGCAAAAAATCCAAAATACGTAAATTATTTCGTTTGTTTCGTAATATAATGTTTTGATTTCATTGTATAATTTCAGTTTTTTTTTTCGTATAATTTAATTTTTGTAAATAATCAATTCGAAGAAAAATAAAAAAAACCATTTATGGAAAAATTAATTTAATTTCTTTTGAGTTTTTGATTTATTTTTGTGCAAGGAATCATTTTTTTTTTTTGTTAATACAGAGATAGATTTAAATTATTTACTTGGAAATTGTGAAGAATATTTTATTTTGGTCACAAAAAAGAACTTTCTTGAGAAAAGTTTGCATTTTTTCACTAGAAATATACCATTTTTCCTCTTCTACCTCAGTCAATGGTGGCCAGCAGTATTGAAGATGCGCCCCGAAGGTATTTATACCAATTGATGAATCGTGAGCAACATTTTGTGACCGCACTACAGTACGGTATGCAACGATTTGTGAGCCCGTTACTAGAGCGCCGTGACTTAATATCACAGACTGATCATCGAACCCTATTCCAAAATATCGAAGAGATTTTACGCCTTTCTGAAGATATCCTTGAACAATTACTCCCCGACGAACATGAGCCACAATTAATGTTCGCATCCCGCGTCTATCTATCAAAATCGACTGCTTTCTGTGCAGCCTATAAAAAGTATTGCAACGGCCTAAAACGTGCTGATTGTGTTTTAGTAAGTGTTGTTTTCTTTTACATGCCAAATGTTCATGTTGATGTGAAATTTAATGAAATTAATTCGGATCGTGTAGGTAAATAAGTCGCGTCAATCGAATTCGGAGTTTGTAACATTTATCACAGTGCCACAAGTGCCGCGTAAACGGCCCGATATGACGACATTGATACATCGTCCGTTGCAACATTTTCGTGAAGTGCTCAAATTAATCATTTTACTGGCATCACATTGTCGTTCTAACTCGGAGGAATGCAAGAATTTCACGCATGTTATAAGCGCTCTTCAAACATCCTATCGAGAAATCACAGTGAACGAAGGCATTATGGAACCACTCGGCGAAGGACGACCATTACTCACATTACAAGATTTAGAAGCTCGTCTCGTTTTCACCAAATGCAAACCCTTTGTGCTAGCCATTCCGGGTAGACAGTGGATTTTTGGTAAATGACATTTTTTTCTGATGAACAACTGCCAGAACCGATGGTTCTTTTTTTTTTTTTTTTAAGAATTTTCATCGAACATTTTCTTAAATCAGGTGGCGATTTATCAAGAGTCGAAGGACGTTCAGTGAAACCATATTGGACGTTGCTCTTCAGCGATATTCTTTTATTTGCCAAAGTTAGTCGGGATCGTGTACTTTTCATCACAGAAGAACCAATCCCATTGGCTAATATCATCGATTCGTGCTTTAATATTCGCAAGAAACGTGAGTATTTCACTTTTCTTTCTCGCTATTCCGCGCAAAAAAATATTTGGGTAAATTTAAAAAAACAAAATCATTAAAAAAATAAATGTGTCCCTCGCAGATACCGAATTTCGTATAACGATTGATCCGAATGGTCGTGCAGCTGAAAGCCCTACAGTACATTGTACGCCCGATCTCAGCCGAACACCGAGAAAAGGTGCTCGAAAGCAAATAATTTTGCGTGCACCTTCGCAGGAACTGAAGGCTGTTTGGCAAAACTTAATACAACGACAAGTGTAAATATCCCTTCTGGAAATACTTCCACATTTGAGATGAAGTTGTAGTAAAAAATCAATGTCTAAACTTCATTTTCTCCTTTACAGATTTTTAGTGAACGCAACATTGGGATCAACATTGAGTAGTCCACTCGAATCACCCGATATATTGCAACGATTTTTGCCTGTTAATGAAATTGAACCGGCGACCACGTCAATGGCATCCATCAAATTATCAGCGGATAGTATAAATACAAAATCTCAACAGGTTCGTCTGCAAACCTTTCAATCGAATTCGACTTTGAGTTATACAAAACCGACGACATTGGCAACAACCTCATTCATTGAATCCGAACCATCAACACAAAGTTCAGTCAATGTATTCGAATCGACGGCATCGTTGCGAAGTCAAAAGAGTGATTGTACTTCAAATTCAGTGTCGAATGAAGTGCGAAATGCAAAATTAAATACAATATTTGAGCATCCAACGTCAACGGGTAAAATACCCGTGCCACAAACACCCATTCTAATGAATCGTAATCCACGCAATGTTCGAACAAATTCAAAAGATCGAGCGACGACATTGTTGGAGTTTAGTTTAAGTTCGGTGGGTCGATCGTTTTTCGATGAATCAGGCAGTAGTCTGGCGACAAAAGTGCAAAATAGCGATTCATTGAAAACGCCCGACACACCAGAACCAAATATATCGCCATCATCGTCGTCGGTCGCATCAAAGAGTTGCTTTTCCGAAACGTTTTCCAATGATTTTATAAAACCATCGACGCCCAGCGTAATTGTGTCACCGTTGGATGAACAGGCTCCCAAATATGCACCATCAACAACGACCAACACCACAAATGGCGGCTCATGGGATTTGCTTGAATTGGATCTTGATTTTCATCATGTCAATTTCGACCCATCGTTTGGTGGTGATGTCGAAGAAAATGTCTTCTTTGGTGACGATCCACTCGGCATTTTGCCAATTAAACCAACCGACCCCGATTCACATGATTTGTAAACGATTTTAGCTCACTGGAGCCAAAAGCTTTTGAATCTGAAATAATTTTGGTGGGCCAAATGAAATTCAATTTTCTTTCAACCCGCCAAATGCAATTTGATTGATGTTCAACTAAAAAGAAATCATAAATTAGCATAAATATACTTGTACAAAAATGTGCTCTTTTATGCGTAGTCAATGTATATTTGGACAATTTACAGCAAAATTGATTTTTGGTTGCAGTTTATTTTTGTTGTTGTTCGATTCGGTTTTTTATGAACACATACAAATGACAGACGATGTGTTTTTTTTTGTAGAAAATGTTTGTGCATCCATGCGGATTCCATTTTAATATTTAGTCTGACCTCTGACAATGATAGCAATGAGTCATTTTCATTTGGTAAATGCCTTTGCATTGCCAAAAGAATAAATCGAACTGAAACACACAAATGTACAAAATAGGCGCTCCAGGCTTCATACATTTTCGACACATTTTACCCAAAAATCTTATTTGAATATATATATTAACAATTTATATGTAACAGATGGACAAACAAGAATATAACGAAGAAAATAATGAGCTTTGATGAAAACCATTTTCGAATTGTTGGATTTCCCTTTGTATTCTCTAAATGGAAATAAGCTTAATCAATTTATTCAACTTCAAAAATACACATACGTTTAACCAATCATTTGCAACTGGAAGTCTACATCTTTCGTCCAAATGAGATCTCTATCAAACAATATATTTTTAACTAAATACAACATGAGCAACACGGTGGATTTGAGAAATTGGGAGGAAACGACTATTTTGGGCCGAGTTTTCGTTGATTTTTTTGATTCAAAACGATTTTTTTTTGTCTCTTATTTGAATTTGTGAAAGTCTGAATTGTTAAAACTTTAAATTGAATGTAATATGAGATTGAATTTGATACGAAAAGAAGCTGAAATTTCATTATCTCCAAATATCACATTTCTTTCCGGCTCAAAATATGTGAATCTGCTTTTAAAACAAACTCTATTTAGATTTAAAATCATAACAAAGATGAAAAATGTTCTAGAATTTAATCGATAAGAGATATATAGTTTTCATTTTGAAGAGCATGAAAAAAAAAAAAAAAACATATTTTTTGCGTGGTGAAACCAAATATTTTATGTAATCAAGTACCTTTTAACCATAAAATTAGCTTAAAAAATTCAATGTTTACTGGTACAAATGAATGCTCGAGAATGAAGGTGAGACTTGACAAACACATTTCTTCTTCGCTTAAAAGTGTGTCGCTGCCAGTGTCAAAAAATGTCCCAAAATAGTCGATTTATTTTTTTCGACTTGCAGTCGTTTCAAGTCGATTGGAAATTGAACAAAAATGAAAAAAATCCAGTCGACTCCAGTCACTTGTTGGTTGGTTTAAATTATTTTCAACATAAAACGACTTAATGTGAAGAAGTCAACTGTATTTATTTTCATTTTTCTTCCATTTCCAATCGACTTAAATAGGATGCAAATCAAAAATGTACCAAATTAGTCGACTGGTATCAATTGATTGAAATCGGTTGGATTTCATAAAAATTTCGAAAATCATCCAATCAGTCCCAATTATTATTTTTTAACATGGGTGTTAATAAAATCAACCCTCCCGCCTTTGCAGTACGTTCTTGTGGGTGAGAGAATGGAGTGAGATGCATTGAGCGACACAAATCCAAAAAAATGTGTTCGTAAAGTCTTACATCATGCTCGGGCATTTAAATTTTTGAATTCAATGGTTCGTTCTTTGTTTCGACGTGAGTCGTAATCGAATAAATGTTTAAATTGGCAGTTGAAATCAAAAAGGAAATAGTTAAATAGACGACAGAAGTCTCAAAAGTTATTTATTTATTATTCTTCATATATAATGATTTAAATCAAAACAATCTATCTGAACAATCATACTAAAGCAAAATATTCAATTCTTCTAATTCAAAATAATTTCAAATGTTGCGTTTGATTTTTCGTATCAAAATTGTATTTGAAATTGTTTAACATTAATCAAAATCATTAAGTTGCCAGATGAATTCGGATTTTGAGGTGAATGTCGAATGAATTTGGCGGTCATTTTTCAAGGCGTAAGAAGGTTGTAAAAAAACATGATTTCTTGCTAAATCACAGTACTGAATGTTATTTTTAAAGGTTTTGGTTCGTTTTTCCAACCATTTAGAAGATTTTTTAAATATTTTTCGATTATCGTATTATAAATGTTTGAAAATGTCGCTGGAAATTCGTTGGTCATCTTCAAAATCCGTTCCATGTTGTTCGAATTCTTTGTTAAAATCCGACACGTTTCTATTCGTTGTGTTCATTTCAATTTCGTTTGGTCATTCAATAAAAGCACAGGTTTTTTTTTTGTATAAAAAAGAAACTTGATGAATAATAACGTAATGGGCGTTTTATTCTATTTTAAGTTTAAAATTCTAAATGCTTAAGCGAAAAATTTGGTCGTACTATGTTGTTTTTAATTTTGTTTTTTTGTTTGTTGTGAAAAGAGGAAAAGAAACAAAACATTGGCATTATTTATACGTGTTTAAATTCACTGAACACCGGTAGCGAAGTAGACGAGATGAAAAAAAAAACGAAATTGAAACTGAATTCACATAGATTGATCAAGTCAAAAAATATGTTTTTTTAGACATCATGATGATAAATAGTCGGAATGATTAGCACGTAGTCAAAGAAGCAATGTTTTTTTCTTTCCTTCTTTAAAAACACATTTTTTTTTTATTTAAATTGTAAATTTGACAGTCACAAGCCACTACGTCGAGACAGTTTGATGAGTTGGTCGATGAGAAATGTCGGCTGCTTAATAAAAACGGAACATCACATGGTAGCGCATTGCATCTCGCACAATGGATGAAGGGGCAATTTGATGAATCGGTAAGAATCACATCAAGTTTGAACTGCTAGAGTTTCGACTGTATTTTCATTTTTCACATTCGTCGGCTGAAAAATGAACATTTTCCCGCAGATTAAAAAATTGACCGAAGAAAATTCGTTGAATGATATTATGACCGAAGATGAAAATGAAGAGCTTATCGAAGAATGGAGTCAAGAACAATTGCGCAAACGTTCCCAAGAGCTTCAGTTGATGGACGAAAATGGTAAGTGTATTATGCCACTTTTGGATAATATTCGACGCGGTTCCGAAACGGTAGATCGAAACCGTTTGACCGCCGACGATGGCATGGCTGGTGAATTTGATGATGGCAGCAAAAGTGCATCGACGACATCAGATAGTCAGGTTTGTTTCAAGCACCCCTCCCAAACATTCAAAAGAATTGCAATGACTTTCTTTATTAGACCACCGTTCGTTCGAGTCCGGTTACAAAAAAAATCGATAAATTATCGGTGTGTCGTCATTGTCACAAGAATTGTAAGCAAAAATCGCAAAAAACGAGCTCGTTAAAGGTGCAACATAGTCAATCGTCATCGAGCCGATGTTGTGCCAGCACAAGTAGTCAAGGTAGTGAAAAATCCGCATCAAGTCGCACAAGTAATCATTCAAACGGCAATGCAAACGACCTCAAATTATCACTGATAAAGAATAAATCTTGTGAAGGAAGTCCGGCCAGTCAAAAAACGGTAACCACATCCACATGTAGCAATAGCAATGCATTGAACAATAACATTTTGTGTAAATGCAAATGCACAACAGCTGATTTTGAAAATACAATTCGAATACCGTATGAAGTTCGGAAAGAAACGTGCAAGATTTTGAACAGCGTCAACGAAATACAGACCATTTCACACACTGCCAATTGGCAACATGCAAATTGTAATTGTGATAATGTTCAAACAATTCGCGAGAGTAAAATCAGTAATCTTAATGAAAATGAGTACATCAAGTCGACAAGTGAAATATCAAATGTTGATGATTGGTCATCGAAGCTGATCGGTTCGTCACAATTTCGTGCCATTCCAAATGTGATGCGAGACAAAAATGATCCATTTAAAGCAGTGCCTCAAATATCAGTCGTCCCACCCACACCAGATGGTATTACAAGCGCAACAATGCGTCGATCACATTGGGAACAAATATCTAGCGAACAATCGGCAGAAGATTCACCACAAGATGAACTACCCTATCGTGCATTGAATACAACACTCAAACGATACGGAACAATGTCTAGTTTAGGTTTGTTTCATTACATCTTCTTGATGAGTCCTGAAATTTTAGAGGAGGGAGTAGTATTAATAATCAAATTTAGGGAAATCAAGAGAAACATTTCAATATTAAAACATTTTTTACACAGAAAAATTGCCCTCGGAAGAGGCAGACGATAAAACCTATAATTCATCGGGCACCGAAACAAATGACGACGACGATGGTAACTATGCCATTATTTATTGTAAATATTGTTTATACAACATAGTCTTCTCTGTAGACATTCGCATAGTAACTAAAGAGATCTACGATGGAAATACACGAAATTGGACAAATCGTGCCGGAAGCTTTTTGGAACAATCGAGAGCGTTCCTTGATAGTTATTTGGGTCGATGGGATCGTAGCAATCAAACCACAATTCATGATGATGAAAGAGACGATTCGGTGCCAGAAAATGGTGAAGAGTGTACATCGGGAGCTACATCAGGGGAGGAAGTGTGGGGAACACCGACGAGCGGCGAAAATGATGAAATTCAAATGTTCAATTCCGATCAAACGGTGAGGAGGCTAGCTACTTCTTTCATTAACCATAACATTGAATAAAATATCAAATGAATTTTTCAGTCGCCAACAAAATCTTCATCGTCTTTAACTGGCGATGATGACACTGAACTCATGATGGATGAACTGTTAATGGCACCGCCAATGACGGCAAGCACAATTCGGGGACTTTTGCCACGGTAATTTTTATTTTTCTATATACATATTTTCTTTAGTAGACATGAGGTCTAACACTTGTCTAGAATTTAGTATAGATTCAACACAATTTTCTAGATGTAATGTGGGTTTTCGATTGTTTGTTTCGATAGATCTAGAGAAAACCTTGTGTTTTTTAGATTTTTAGCGTTTTCATAAATGAAATATAAATTTTAGACGAAGATTAGAGCCGTTATTTGAAGAAGATACGGAAAGTAGCAGCGAAAGTGATGAGAACGAAAATGATGAGCGGATGGTGCGAGATTTCAGTAGTTCCGATCAGGTAGGATTTAGTGAACATTGCGTTTCGTGATCGTTTTTTTCGTTTACTTAATTCGTAGCCATATCTTTAGCCTTTTCTTCATATCTTTTCTTTCTCCATTTTGAGATCTATGTGGTGGATTCGGACATCATGTTTTTATACACTTTTTCTTTCCATTTGATGAATGATGATTGATTTTGTTAATCGCTTTTGCTGGATTACTTCGTTCATTTTAATTCATTTATTTCATTCATTTTTGATTTTTTACGAAATTATTTATTGAGTTTAAATTCGGAAATTCGAAAAAAATAATTGATTTGCAAGAATTTGAAAAAAAAAAACTTGAGAATTAATGCATCTTGCTCGCGTTCATCAAATACCACATACATCTCAAACTTATAATCACATTCACACATTTATTTCTTCAATCTTAAACAATTCTACTCTATCATATTCATCAATTTCATTCACCATAGAAACGTCATCTGTTGCGCATTCTTCTGTAGTAATGAATATAAAAAAGATTAGAATGCATATTGTTCCATCTCTTCATGTCAAAGCCATTCTAGACCGTAGGTAAATCTCATCATAATCATCAATAATCTCATCATATAATAAAAAATGCAAGAAAAAAATCATCTTGTTGCGTGTGTCACTTTCGCCTATCATACTCTATTTTCGCTTGAACCATGTCGACTCGACACAATTAATAAAAAAAAAATAGCTGAACTGAATACCCAAATGATCGTTTTGCCTGGTTCGTGCAAATTGGTGGTAAGGTTAATATTTATTCCGAATAAATTGGCAGGGGCAAGCAGCACAGAAAACCTCTATTCAAAATGGTCCAGATGTGGAAAACGGCGTCGTCGTCAAAATCAACAGCATCGCTCCATTAAAAAGTACGTGCATCGAAAGCATTTTGGCAAAACCACCAGTAAAAGATCACTATATCGTGGAACCATTGAGAAGGGAAATCGATTGTGGCGGCATTGCTGACGATGGCTCTTTCCCTGCACAACCACAACCACAACCACAACGAACCCCGAAAGATGCGGTCAAAGAAAAACAAATAAAATTTGCCGACATTATCGATCGTGCCGACGAATCGTACAATGCACAAACAACAGTGGCGATCGGCAACAAGAGCATTGGCATCGAAACTACAACGGTCACCACAACAGTTTATCAGACAGCGATCCGTTTGAGTCCACGTCTCGAAATGCGTTTAGCCTTAAATCACGATATTTTGGGCGACGAAGATTTGATAAGTTTCGAACCTGGGCCAGCAAACCTGGAATCAATTCTCGGACGCGACCTGTCATCATACCATCGCTTTACTGGCAAAGAACTGATCAATCGCACACCGATCAATCATCATCGTATTGCGCCAAAGGAAGCAAACATCTCATTTTGCACACAGAAAAACTCAAAAATGGACACACCAACACCAAATCGCCGAAAATCAAATCTAAATACTTGGAACAATTCTGCATGTGCGGCTGCGGGTAAGTCAATACACATTTTTAAAATAAGATTCGGACTTGATCAGGAGAGATTTTGAAAATATTTGGTTTTCCTGTTGCAGCAATCGAAAAAAAGCTGAGCGACCTGGAACGATTGGCGAGAGCGGAAAAGAAAATTCAGCTGAAGACCTCTCCAGCGGAACATCTGTATATAAATCATGGACAAACGGCGATAGCGGAACAGAATACCAACAAAAATGAAACCAAATCACGTGGATTGTGAGTACTTTCGTAAAACCTGCGCAGCAAAACCAATGCAAATCAATTCTTCTTTTTCTTCTTTTTTTCAGTTTTGGTTTTTTCAAGCGTCGTAATTCTGACACGCACAATACACCAAATGGTAAATTAGTAACAGGTGTCATTTCATCGCAAAAAGATGCTGTATGTATTTAAAACGTACCCGTTCAATTTCTATCTTCGTTTCGACTATGTTTGCTTCAAACTAATTCGGTTTTGTGTTTTTGTTTTTTTTTCTGTTTATTTTCTTTGATGATGCTTATATTCCTTCGTTTCCACCACGCAAATTGACAATTGGCATTAAATCGTTTGTGTGTGTGTGTGTTGTGTGTGCTTTATTCACAATTTAGGCTAGTCGCTAGTTTCGCATTCGAATAGCTTTGAATTTGTCATTTAATGAAATCGCAACCACCTACCCACAAATGTCAAAGTCTATTGTTCCTTCATCATTCTAGGATAAATCACTGGCACTGGACCGACGTTTCTGGAAGCAGCTCAGCAAACGACGTCGATCATTTTCATTATCCGAAGCTTCGTCATAATGAATTCATATACAATTATATTATTGAGCCTATCAAAATAAGCTTTTCATTTTGTACATTTAGATCAATGTAAGATTGCCAGCGAGTTTTGCAACAGTCCAGCCTTTGAAACAAAAATCTTTCAATTTTTTTTTAAGATCGAGATTTTAATGAAATATTTATATAGTCACATTCGTTTGTTAGGTAAGATAATAAGTCCAGTTTAGAGACTAGATTGGATAAAACTTGCACACCAAGAAAGATTTTCTTCACAAAGTATGTCAAGTAACTCATGAGGAGATTTTGAAATAAGCAACAGTGTTGAATACAACTACAATGCCTTTTGGCGTGTGGTCTGCTTTCGAAACGAATCAGAGTTGAGCCTATTGATGAAGATAAGCAAATACGGTATGGCCTGATGACCGAATGTAATGAAATTGTTCACTTAGATTGAGGATATTGCAAATCAACGAAAAGAAGTTGGAATTCGGTTCAAGAACCACAAATAGCAAAATTGGTAAAATATTTTTGGATAGGACTGATGGTATTATTTGAATTCCGGATTTTTAAGGATATTTCAAAATGTGTCGAACATTTTGTTTTCATAATAAAATGTATGGATTTTTCCGTAAAAGGAATTGAATGAATTAATTTAGATTCAGTCAATAACCGTCTTCAACGTGTAAAAAAATATGCACAACTGTCCAATAATGATACATTTTCGTCCTCTACGAATATAAAAATCCATTAAATGTTTATTACTTAAATTTCGTGCTTCAAATTGTCAGTCGTCAAACAGGTAATTTGCAATATAATTCAACGTAACTGACCGAACCGGTTGTCTTTATAGTTGGTTATGGAATTTGAGCATATAGAAAATAGTGAATGCAAGTGAAATATTTGAATATAATAGTCAATTGTAATTGGATCCGATGCACAATAAGATCGCCTAAAGCACCAAAATCTAAACAAATAATACTAGTCATAAACGTACTTGTACAGTAGCAAAAGTGAAGCAATATAATATTATCTCGCCACCAGAATAGAAATCAACACTCATTAATTCGAGCCTTTTTCAATCACAATTAAATTTACAAAGACCACATTTGATATGAAGCCAACGATAATAGCGAATTGACATCCGTTATACGAAGTGTTGCTCGGGAAACATGAGCACTGGTCTATTTTAGAATAGAAAATTTGTAGAATGTAAGTGTAGTGAACTGAAAAACCCCACGAACATAATTAACTTTTTTTGTAGCAACAATTTAACGTCGTATTATTAAAATTCCGTGTAACTAAATATAGAGTACTCCCGTGTGATTGGGAGTATAAAATCCATTTGCGATTTCGATTTTATAGAAGCAAAATGATTGAAAAGAATCATATAGAATTCCAACGATTTCTGCAAATTACTGTCAAAATTATAGATCGATACTTATAGGATAGATTCTAAACACCGATGACTTGAATCTACCATCCAATTAGGAAACTCAATAAGAATACCAGCTATAGTATGGATTTATACATGTAAATTACAAGAATTTATGCCAATATTCAGCTTTTTTGCAATGCATTTTCGATCCGGTAATAGCTGCTAGAAAAAACAAATTTTATTGAATTAGCTTAGTCAACACCTAAAAATCCAAAGATAGATTTTCCAGTGTACTTTCTTGAAAATTAGATGATGTTTTTTTTGTTGTAGTAGAAAGAATATTTCAATTTTACAAGTTACAAGGCGATATAGAGATAGTCAAAAGATATTTTTATTAGAATTTTTCATCCACAATTCAGAACGAAAAGACGTATTCCAAGCCGTATAAGATTCAAACTTAGATTCAAACACTTTTTCTCAAACGCCATTTTTTGCAATATTTTATCAAAACTTTCATTGAATCAAGAAGCTTATTGCCATTTAAAATTTAAACGTCCAATTATGACACAATGAATCGATATGGATGACCGAAATAGTTACTTTTTCAACTCAAAGATTCGTTCCTATTCATGACTGAAATTCAGCCGGACTCCGGTCGAATATTGTGACAGTCCCGGTCAAAACTTCGAATTATGTTTCCAATTCAATGAAAATTGGTGAAAATAATTAAAGTTAAAATACCTTTCGCACACTAGATGTGCGGAAATGTAATAGTTCGATTGAAAAACGATTTGTGGTTGAAGATTTCTCACTAAAAAAAAAAAACAATTTCTAAAAGAAGGAATCAACCCATAAATTCAAGTCAATATAACTTCTACACACAAGTGTGTGATTCACTTTGTTGTCAATTTTCAATGTGCCGGAATAAAATCTGATTGTTGTGGCAAAAGAAATCCTTTCTCAATTAGCATTTAAAAAAAATTGCATTTTATTGAAACTCTTAAACGATTTTGCCTTATTAGTTAACTAATAGCATGTAATTTTATGAAGACAATTGTATGCGACCTAAATAAATAAATTCACTTGGAATATTGTACATTTTAATCGATTGAACCTTGGATTGAACGATTCATTTTGAAAATCTCGTTGCATATTTAAAATTCAACCAAATGGTATAGAGAATTTAAATTTTTCTTGCGATGAATTTATTTCGATCAATTTTTTATGAGTTAGAACTTCATAATTTGTTTTTTAGACATTCAAATTTTAGATAAAATATTTAAAGCACAAATCAATCGAGCGAATGACTGCAATGTTCTGTTGAATTTAAGTCCAATATAATTTTTGTTATAATTCCATTGACTAATAAATGACTCTATGAATTTACTTCAAACGACAAAAAAAGTGTTTTTTTTTTATCATTCATTGATTCATTTTTATGACGACTTTTTGAATGGGAAAAAGATAAAATTAAAATAATTTTTTGATGTAAACATCATCGGAAATAAATTTTATTTACTTTTAATATTAGCATGTACAATTTTCGTAAAGCACATTTAATTCGAAATAGAAAAAGGCAATAAACGTCTATTTGGTCATCGTTTACGAACACACTGCAATTATGTTCCATAAGAGACTGTATAAAATGCAAAACTATAGCACAGCTAGCGCCACTACGGACAACTATGGAGTTCTAGTCAGTTGTTTGTAACTGAGCAAAAGTCTTTTCACTAGTTGGCGGCAACTTAGTATAGATTACATTGAATTCCGTCGTGGCGCTAGCTGTGTGACACTTTTAGCATAATTTCGGTACGTTTACGAAGTGTCAAAATCGAAATATGTTAAAATTATATTTAAAAATATTGAGAAATAAAAATAAAATATGGTTTAAAGTTTCAAAGATTTAAAAAAAAAAAAAAAACGATATCATTCAAACAAAAACGTCATACAATTCCCGTCGTGTCAATTCATTTACATTGTGAATTCCGCAAGAATATCAATGATTTCCCATGATACTTAATGGTTGTTCTTCCTCATTTCGTATATATCCAAACTTTGGCAATCGTTTGTTGAAGCCAAACCAGAAAATGGTGAGCACGATTATCACCAAACAGATGGCATTGATCCACGATGCCATAAGTTGAGCCATTGATCCGGATCCATTGTTTTCTCTCGCCTGGTATCGAATCTGCATATTTGCCACTCCCTTTTCTTCTGATGGCGACATTGTTTCTTTATCAAAACTATTAAAATCCGTTCCTTCACTGATCGTGTCGCAATCGATTAATTTGTAAATGACATCGACATGTTTCCAGCTAAGCGACTGAAACAATCTATTAAAATATGTGCAATTGAATTCGCTAATGCCGATGATTTTTGCATTCGGAATGCGTGTATTTGTGAAGCCATTTAGTTCTTGCATCCGGTTGTTTGTTATCGACAATAAATTTAAATTATTCGTCCGTGGCGACAAAACATCCGCATTGAGCGCCTTCAATTTATTTTGCGATAAATTCAATGTGTGTAAGTGCGTTAATGTCAAAAATGTATTCGGTTTGATTTCGGTTATTAAATTGTTCGACAGATCCAAATGCAGCACACTCTGCAAATTTTCGTCTCTAAACATTTTCGGCTCTAATACGGTCAGGTGATTGTGTGATAAATTCAATCTTTCCAACAGCATTTCGCCAGAGAATGCAAAATTATTGATCTTTGAAATATTGTTGAATGAAAAATCAAGATCTCTAAGCATCTTCATGTTATGAAGTAAAAGTGATGGAATTTCATTGATTTGATTATGGCAGAGCAGCAAATGTGTCATTCCGTTCAAATGTTCCGTCATTCGTCCGCTTAACTCACTGATATTGTTGTGGCACAAATTCAAAAATTGCAATCCAGAATGAAAAGCGGTCGGATTGATTGTTTTAATTCGATTGAATGAAAAGTCGGCGTTGAACAGTCTTGGTGTAAGTTTCATGAGATCCGATGGCAATTCAGCGATTTCGTTGTGCGTGGCGAACAATTCAAAGATATTTTTTACACTCGAAAAACCATCTAAGTCGATAGTTTGTAAGCTGAGGTGCGATATATTGAATGTGTGAACATTTGAATATAATTCAAAAATGTTACGTGGAATCTGTGGACGATCACAATTTTCAAATTCAATTTTTCCAATCCATGATTTTCCAAATCCATCCTCATATTCATCGTAGAGATGCTGATTCATACAAATTGGCTTTGTGCCCGACGTAAAAAGATCACGATTACGAACATATTCAGTGCAAACTAGGGTTAAATTACAATTACCATATACACTGTCAAAATAATTACAATCACCAATTTGCTGATATTTTCCAGAACAAACTAAGAAATTTGCACACAGCGATATTAAAACTAACAACATTAATTTGGACGTCATTTTTTAAAATTTGAATGACAGAAATGAGAACTGATCAGATTGAAGTTTTCTTTTCAACTAAATAATATAACAACGGACTGTGATTCAAATAGGCGCAAATGATAATCGACTTTTTAATAAGAACACCCACACGCTTCCACATAATTGTTTGGTACTGGGCACTTCTTATCGGTTTTTTTTCTTGTTACAACCACGATTCATCTGTAATACTATCGTTAGTGTTAAGAACATAATTCAACCATCAAACTAGAAGTGATTGCCTACGATGTCGATCATGTATATTCATTTTTTTTCGATCATCTATGATCAATTCGAAAATATTATTTGCCAGTAGACGTGTGCTGTTAGTTATATGACCGGAGGTTTTTCATCGCACCATGGTGCATTTTGCGAAATTACGATAATAATTTATTCTTTGTAATGAACAAAAAAATAGTCAAAGTTTCCGTTCAAAACATCCCGAATTTAAATCATCTTTTCAAGCCGTGTTTGACCCAGTGACTCACAGAAATTTCTACATTATTTTGTTCGCTTTTATTCAATGCGATAACAAAACGTATGGATATTTATTTTCTATGCTTTGTTCGTATAGTATGACCCAAAAGAATAAAACTCTGATTTCATCTGACGTAATTTTTATGTTTATTTTTTTACGAGAATTTGTTAAATTTCCTTTGATAATAGTATTTCCATTAGTCATTCATTACAGTTTGGGGTTGCTTAATGAATATCACAATACTTTACTGCACACAGTGAGTGCCCTTACTGCACCCTTCACAAGGTCGATCGCGCAATCTGGCTATGTTCTTCCAAAAGAAGTTTAAACAAAATCGTATGATTTGAACTAAAGTTATAATGTACAATTAAAAGTTGTCTTCAAATTCCCATACAAATCCTTACCAGATACAAATCCTTTGTTAGAAAAATTACTAACCAAGTAAGAAAAATAATTGTCGCGGTTGAATTTCCCAAAAAGACAAATTTACTGTCCATGTTACATCAAGCAATATAAATGTCTATATTTGAGCTGTTATAATTTTGAAGCCCACATCGACGATTTAGATTGTCATGACACTGGTGGTGGTTATTTGATGCAAATCGAGAAAATATTATGGTGTCCATTATATACTTTTATTTATGGCTAAAGAATCGAAGAAAGTCCGCATAAAGAGAATGAACAAACCATGCAAATTTCGAACTGTTTTGACTATTTCATTTGTAAAATCGTATATACTCACAAGCTGTTCAAACTACAAACACCAATGTAGTGGCATTCTAGAGTCAAATTTTTGACAACCAAAAATACGTGTGTCGTTTCCTTACTCTGCTAGTCTAGAAGCAAAAATTATCTACTTCTTCATAGGTACAAAATACAACCAAATTTCGTGTCAAAGTCGAACATGTGTGCAACTTTATCGCATTTTACAAACTGATAACATTCAAGTGATAATCGTTAAAATGAAGAAAAAATCGTTTCAGTGTTCAGTTACTGTTCGAGCTAAAACTACTTTTTCAGTACTTCCATAGTATGAACATTTGAAATTGTCTTCCAGGCAAAAAAGTCAATTCGCTTCATTAGAAGAGTTTAAGTGTTGATAAATTTCGAAAAACCGAAGGCGGTGAAAAGTGAAAGATGTCAGAGTGGCCGCTTGATCAGGTAAATATTTTATTAAAGAAGGAAACTACATCAATATCAATGATTACCCAGCAGAGTGTTTGTTGCATTTTTGTAATACTCAAAAGAAAAGTTCCAAATGTTACATAATGCAGATCTTCTGACTCTATGTGCAATTGTGCAGTGTCTACCGTGTACATTCACATCACCTTAATTTGTGGCTGAAATTATTTTGTTTCATACTCCTCTGTCCCGTTTTTGTTTTCAGTACGATACAAATGGTTTTGCTGTTATCGAAGATTTTTTTACCGAAGAAGAAACGAATGAACTGCGCGAATCTGGTTTGGAATTATGTAAAAATGCACCCGAAAATCATCGTCAAACATTTAGCACCAAAGACGCGGCTTCTCATTTAAAAGACGACTATTTTCTTAGTTCGGCTAATAAAATTCATTATTTCTATGAAGATGGTGCACTGGATGGTGATGGAAATTTGCTAGTGGATAAAAGAGTCGCAATTAACAAGGTAATCAGAGAAGACAGTGAAAAAAATATCAAATTTTGTACAATGACACACAATCATTTTGCAGATTGGTCACGCACTTCATGTACTTCATTCAACATTTAAAAAGTATACATTTGACGAACGTGTTAAAAATGTAGCGAAAAAACTTGGCTTCAAAAAACCCAGCATACCGCAGAGCATGTTCATTTATAAAAATCCAAAGATTGGCGGTGAAGGTTTGTATCTAACATTATCAATACCCCGAAAACACCCCATCATTTTGTCAAATTAATAAATGTGTATTTACAAATATTTTCTCATAAATAATTAGTGAAACCACACCAAGACGCAACATTTCTTCACACCGTTCCAATTTCGATAACTGGCTTTTGGATACCCACTGAAGACGCAACACTTGAAAATGGTTGTTTGTGGTTCATCAAAGGTTCACATAAACACGGACTGGATAGACGGTATGCAATTGATTAAATGTATGATGAACTAATATTGATAAAATTCAAAATTACAGTGTGGTTCGCAATACAAATCCAAATTCGAATGAATTATTAGTATTTGACAATCCACCACCAAAGTATTCGCAAGATTTATTTACTCCGACTCCTGTGAAAAAAGGATCACTAGTCATCATTCACGGATTGGTTGTACATCAAAGCGAATCGAATCGCTCGAATAAAAGCCGTCTTGCATACACATTCCATGTTATGGAAACGGAAAATGTAAAATATTCGCCAGACAATTGGCTACAACTGCCAGAAGGCGAAGACTTCCCAAAACTCTTTTAAATAAATTCAAATGCATACATATATTTTTCACTTTCTAAATAAATTGCTTGAAATGATCAATTAATCAAGGTTTGCAATAATATGCGTGGTTTAAATTATTAAGTTATTTCGAGTAGTTCTTTTCCCCTTACCTCTGAATTAAAACTAACTCAAAGTAATCCGGCTTTTCGTCACCATTTTAACTGTAAAATGGGTTGAGTTTAATGAAATCATCAATTAAAAAATGCAATAAATTTCTCAGGACGCTGCCACTTACAATGTTTTATGGGTAAAGCAAAAATTTAATCTTCTGATGAAATATATCGCATCTCGTCCTATTACACTTTATTTTGTCTTTTTAAAAAAAGTTTTCGAGAAAAAACCCGGTCCCAAAGTTGTGTAAGGAAAAAAAATGAAAAAAGCCACATTGCCGTGAAACGTTTTTTTACTGCATTGAAAACATGTTGAAATGATAGATGGCGTTGTCTGCATCTACGTCGCAATAAATTGCTTTTTTTACGTAGTTAATTTACACTACGAACTTTTCTGAAATAGTTTCCAAAAATCAAGAATTTCATTTAAAAAGATAAGCTGTTCGTCAATATTTCGTAAAAATGCTGTACAAAAAATGCAATCTCCATTCAAGAATCCAAATCAATTTAAAATTCTGTCGATCCCAATACGATTATTTACAAACAAACTGACATTACGTCGGAGAGAAAGAGAAGTAGAAAAAAAAGAAAATACGTCGTCATTGAATGTATCGAAATGTCAATGGTTGAGTTTTTGTGAAAACAGAAACGGAGCAAAAGAGAGAGATAGTGTAACTTGGAGTGAATTTATTGATGTATACGTTGAAAATACTTGAGCACCACAACACGAGTACGACTGAGTGAGAGAGGTATGCATAAATCAAAACAACAATCGAAGTTTGTCTGAATCGACGAAGCAACGAACAAACACACGTACGCAATTGACAGAACGTCCAACGACGACAAGGCGAACAGAGAAGAAATTTATTCATCACCAAAAGCCAGAAGCAATTGCAAATAAAGTGATTATTTATATTTGTGGTGAAAATAATTCCGAATTGAATTATATTACAATTGAATATCAAATGAATGTACACAGTAACAACATAAAGTTCTGAATCGTACAATTGCGCGAGTGTTGTGAAACGAGTGTGAAGAAAAATAAAAGAAGCGTAACATTCAATTGAACCTTCATCAATTAATAAGAGCGTAAAGTGACGACATATAAAAGATCGAAGACGAAAAAAAAAGTTATTTTGTTGTAAATCCTCGGGCGAGATCGAAAGAACAAAATGCGAAGTTTTGTGATAGATTTGTAATTAGCTAAGGTCAAGGTAAGGATACATGGCGATGGTATTTGTGCTAAAAAAAATTGTGAAAGCGAGAAAAAGTGGGTGTTTTTGCGTTTCTCTTGATTTGCAATTAAGGAAAATCTCATAATAACAAACTAGATTATAAAGTGTACGTGCATATGCAAATAGGCCAGCTGAGATGAGTTGTCTTCTCTGACGCAGTTGTTCATTTTTCAGTGTATGTACATGCAAGAATTCCGAAAACAAGAATGAAAACAACGAAGGAGAAGGCAAGCGCGAGAGAGCGCGACAGAGAGAAATGTCAAGTGTTTATTTTGTATTTTTTTAGTTGAGTGAGTAAGTTCAGTGCGTATAGTGGTTCAATAAAATGTGTGATTGAAATACCGTGTGTTGATTTCACATCGAACGTATATTTAATTTCTCTTCAACTATAATTATTACGTGAGAGATTTTTGCCCTTGGTGTGCTTGTGTGCGATACCGTTTTCGGTGGTTATCCAAATAAGTGTATGTATGAGTATTTTGTGTGTTGCGTGTTTGAGGAAGTACAGCGAAAAAGGTAGATAGAGAGAGCGCGCACGCAAGAGAGAAAGAGAGAGTCAGAGCAATGAGTAGTTCATGTGTTTATGTTATTTATTCGAACGGTATAACTCAAATGAACCGTAATATCATACCGATTGTTATTTTTCTTCTTTCCGATAAAAGAAAACTGTACACAGTTTTGTTGTGTGCATGGAAAACTTTTTTTTTCATTCGCCATTCGCGTTGTATGTGTAAAATTGAACGGAATTGGAAATTGGTTTATTTGTTTCTGTTACACAAGGAAAAAACCGACCAAAAACCATCGTCGCGTGGATTAGTGCAATAAATGCATGGCTTCGAACGTTTTAGAGATTATTATTACATTTCATACAATTGTCTACGGTATTTCTCTTCATTTTCTCTCTTCTCTCTCTCTCTCTCTCTATCTCTCTCTCTCTCTCTCTCTCTGTGTGTGCTTAGTGTATTTAATTACGCGCTGAATTCGACGACCTTTCTAGTTGGCGTCATCGAAGCCCCCGACTTGGACTGTGTCCAAAAAATTAAAAACTCATGCCGACTCACTTGTCATTCCAGTGATCTGAACATGAAAAATGCTAAAAAAAAGCTTATTTAAAAATAGACGATGAATAGATTTTTGTGATTTTGCGTCGTTCTTGCCGTGTCAAAAACATATGATCTGCACTCAAATTATTGAGCACCGTTTTTACCTATCTCCCACTTCGTCTTGGTCTGTATCACATGCCAGATCAATTCGTCTCCGATTCTCAATCTATTTCTATGAGTCGTACAATAAAACAAGTGTTACAATTGCTGAACCAGTGGTTTAATGTACCCGAATGCCAAAAAACCTGTACACACACAACACACATACACACTCGATGTCAATCAATTCGAAACAAACAAACAAACAAACAACAAAATTGAGATCAAGCCCGTCATCAACATTTTAGAATGCGAACATCGCACACATACAATCATCATTCGTCTGAAGCACTTTTCTGTATGTATGTACAGTATGCACAATGAAGCCACATACAATTCGAATAAATGTACGCGCATTTATTTTTATCTTCATTTTGTGTACGTTTGCGGTGAATGAGCAATGATCAACATAACCGTTTGTCAGTGAGCATCAATGTTCGCATGTTTGTTCTCATTCTCATTTATTTCGATGGATGATGATTATTATTGCTTACACAGAGGCAAAAACACACACATACAATCTCCAAAACAATTTGATTTCGATTATAGCGCAGTCCAACAATTTTTGGATTTCATTCTCAATGAGCTCATGCCAATTATCGGACCCACTTATATCACTACATTCAGGTTCACAAAAGGAATAAGCAAACACATCGTCTATCGTTTTTTTTTATTTGAAACGTGTCAATATCATTCATATGTTGATGTCATACCTCTGGAACGTCTATTCACACTTTATTTGAATACTAAACATGATTTCGTACACGTTTAAAACAAATACTTTCCGACAACTCTTTTTTGTTTTGCTTCATTTGAAAAAGTGTTTCCAGCATTTTTCTTTCATTCAATTGTTTTGATGTCGGAACAGCGGTGAGAATAATTATTATCAATTTTGCGTGAAAATATTCCGAGTTTTTACGTCGTAGAAAAATGAAGCGAATATGTTCATGCGAAAATATGATTGGAATGGATTTATATGGAAAAGTCGGGCAAAGTTTCCTTTTTTTTAATTTCTGAGAAAAAATTTTGAATTCAAAATGAGTCCACAAAATTTGGATTTGAAAAGAAACATCTTTATACAGAGTAATCAAGTCTTTGTTGACAAGACCAACTCATTTTATGCTTCCGATGCGAAAAATGTTTGAATAATTTGTAGACATTCTGTCGGAGGTGAACAGGTTCTTTTCGGAGAAAGAGCAAATGTTCATAAATTCGTGCCCAAAAACGTGTCTTATCATGAAACGCTCTTCCGAGAAAGGCAAACTTGATTAATTCAACATTTCTCGATAAAAATATCCAACTGCAAAAAATTCAAGCTCATTGTCATTGGAAAATGTAGGAAGCAAGAGTCGGTAGGTGCGAGTGCATTGTTAAAAATCAGTGTCAAAGTCATTATGATGTATGTGGTCTGCATTCGAGTGCGGAATAATGGCAACACATGGATACGATGTGTGACTTGGATCGCGAGCATTGTTGCATTGTATTGAACAAGTTCTCAAGGAAGTCATCATCAACTGAACAATGTTTTACAAACAATACAAAATGCATTGATTTTTTACAATTCAACAATAATTCGACCTTTATATTGTGACAATGTCTGAGTTGCTTCAAGTCTAGTTTGACAATTCCTCTTGAATCTAAAACAATTCACAATTTGTTTTTTCGCCAAAACTATACACGAAATATAAGTGCAATCCATTTTATAAATTTCCGCTTGAAGTTATGATGCCATAAATGGAAGTTGGCCAGTGTGGGCACAAAACGAATCGCATCTTAAACAATTCAGCTCCATAAAAAGTGACGAGTTTCGCAACTACGCAAAATGTTATATTAGCAACTTGTTTCGAAATTCATTCGATACTAATCACCTTCAGCAGCATTTATCGACACACACACATACACACAGAGTCTCGATTAAATGATAACTATAACTTGTATTAAATTGCAGTATGTATGGCGAACACGCGCAATTCACACGTATTAATTGAAATTTATTCCATTTTATTGTACGTAGTCGTTTGGTTGATTGATGAATCGATGATGACGATGATAATTAACCCATCCGATGATTAGAGAACGGCGATTTAAACGCACATGTGAAACAGAATGTAATTGTCTTCGATAAATACTTGATTGCGCTGGATTAAAAAAAACACACGTTAATTCGAGATATACAGGTCACGCCTTCCCATATTACTAGAACGATCGTTGACCTTGAAATGGTGCGAATGAAATAGTTTATATTTAAATTGCCGCGACACGCAAAATTGATATACACGGTCATTTATGAAAAGATACATGTCGCAAACTCTTTTTTATTCAATTTAAATGATTCTTATCGCCCATTTATGTCAAAGAGATGAAAGCCAAATTCAATGGAAAAATTCATTGAATTGGATTCATTTGGTTTTGTAACAAAAGCGATTAAAAAAACAGAGGAAAATAATAAAATTCATTGAAATAAATTGAAACTCATAATTAGGTTGAATAAAATGTACATTGTTAATGGTCTATTGAAATTCGATTTCTGAATAAAGTTGCCAAATTTGGTGAATTTTCAATGAAATTTTTCTTATTTCGATAAGAATGGATCAGCATCCGTGCGAAATATCGCATATTACTATTGCTCGTAAACAATACTTGTGCATCGGATGAACAAGTAAATACATCGTTCTGTAAAACGCAAATAAAAATTTCAATTTGTTATGTAGTGTGATGATTCACGTTGTAAAATCAAACGGAATGTGAAGTAAACCGCAATAAAATAATCGCATTTTTACGATTCAACTACATGCGCAAATTGATCGAGGTCATAAAAATTCGTGCATGCACATTAAATAAATGCGATTAACGACATGTATATCTCGAACGGTCCAACATTTTGCTCTTTATGACAACTTCTGCGATGTGAGCACATTTTTGCTGTATTCTATTTGACAAACGGTATAATTCCACTTTTTTTTAGCAAAATATCTTTTCTATACAAGTTTGGAGCTCAATACATTTTCAATGAATCGCTTGTTATCGTTCTTATCAAACAATGAATCAGAGTTACATCAATGACGCTGAGAAGGTCGTTTAGATATATAACTTCACCTGCATTCTATTGCACTTGAACTGAAAACGACACACACACGTGTTTGTTGTTGTTATCTTATACGACAAAATTGAACATTGGTTTCACATTTGACCACAATATTCAATTTTGTTATTCAATTGCATGGAGCAAGCGAGTGCAAGTAATTGAAACAATTGGTTAACCTAACACGAATTAACAACAATTCAATCGAAAGTCATATTGTTGACTTGAATGAGTCATTCAATTCGACTAAATTTCGTAACACAAAAACAAAACACACCGATAACATTTTATCGGTCGAATCGGTTTGTTATCATTGAACTTGCTGTTGTGATATAATATAATGACTAACATTGAGCGAATGAGTCGGGAAGTGAAATGAGTGATTTTATGTGACCAGAACAATTTTTCTTATCTTGGTTGTTCTTGAACTGGAAAAATTGGCGATTTACACAAAAATAATACTAAAACTAGTTGAAAAAAACTCGTAATTTTATTTTGCATTTTTTTTTTTTGCTTGTACGAATGCTTTGTGCGTGAATTTTTTTCTATATTTGTTGGTAATTTTGAATTTAAAGAAAAATAACTCCAAGTAATTTATGATTTCTGAATGAGATACCACAAAAACCCACTTTCAGCAGTTGTATGTTTTGCACTTTTCACATTGAATTGATCAAAAACTATGTTTCTTGTTTCTATTTTCCTTCCACATTGTGCCATCTAATCATCATCACCATAATCACACCTCCATCTCTATCGATTGAAACAGTTGAAATCTGGCAATAGAACATCGTGACCTAATCATCACTTGAAACAAAAACACATCACACCCAATCACACTAACCTCCTTCTTCTGATCAGTGCAACGCAACACACAAAATTGGCATGGAAACCCAACTGGTGGCCGAATTCGTTTCGAAAACTAGAGCCACCCCAAATGATGCGTTGAGCTGTTTGAGGACATGGGGTTGGGATCTCAAAAAGGCACTCATCGATTACAATGGTAACCTTTTGAGTTTCTAATTTTTCACCATGATTCTATATGTTACTATTTCGATTTGTGTGATTATCTTTTCTTATCACTGAATTTTATCTGCAAAAAAAAATTACAATAAATTCTCTTTTAATTTCCAGATACATCGACGAATGAGTATTTCAATGGTAAAAGTGGGCTAAAAGTGCCCGTTGACACAGTTGATTTTGTGGATCGTTCGTCCAAAGCATCAAACACATCACAATCAAATACACATCAACGAAAGAGTTCGCTAGCGAAATTAGATTCGGTAGACATTGTTGACTGTGAGTAACTTTTTACTTTCCATCACACCCAGTGTGGGAAAGATATTTTTTTAATAAATCAAAAATTTCGAAATTAATCCAAAAAAAATGTTTCGTTCGCAGACAAAAAACTGTACCGTGGTATTTCGCGAGCAACCGAAAACGAAAATTTGGTATCACGTGCCCGTACCGAAGTCGCAATGGATTTACATTCAAATTGTTTAAATTCGGTCGATAATGTCCAGCAATTGGATATGCCCGATTACACATTCACTTTGCCCGATTTAACAATTTATTCGGATGAATTTCGTACTTTTCTTGAAAAAGACCTAATTGAATGTTCAACGTTGAATTCATTAGAAACGGCGAATCGTTTAAATTGGTGGGCCGATGCTGGTTTTTGTCGAAAATTATGGCCATTAGCAACGACCGGCGATGGAAATTGTCTATTGCATGCGGCGAGTTTGGCCATGTGGGGTTTTCATGATCGTAAATTAACATTACGCACAGCATTACATTCGGTTTTATCGTCCGGTGAATACAAAGATGCCTTATGGAGACGATGGCGTTTTCAACAGACTCGCCTGAATAAGCAAGCCGGTTTTGTGTATTCAGAAGTCGAATGGGTTAAAGAATGGGAAGAAATTGTGTGTATGGCATCACCGGAACCAAGACAATCGAAAAGTGCATCAAGACGTCGATCGGTCGCAATAAATGAATCCATCGATGACAATGCCACATATGAGAGTCTTGAAGAAGTTCACATTTTTGCATTGGCCCATGTATTGCGGCGAACGATAATTGTGATTGCCGATACCGTGTTGCGTGACATGAATGGTGAAGCGATGGCACCAATACCATTCGGTGGCGTCTATTTGCCATTCGAAATCCAAGCGAATGAATGCTATCGGGCTCCATTGCTGTTAACTTATGATATGGCACATTTTTCTGCATTGGTTTCAATGGAAGCGTCTAGTGAACAACCACCGCCATTGATTCCATTGATTGATTTCGAAAATGTACTGTTACCGATTCAGTTTTGCATCGATCCGGGTGTGAATTTCGATTGGAAAACATACGATGGTTCCGAAGGTAATTGGGCGTTAACTGACCGAGAACATATCGCATTGCTTAAGGAGTATTTGGACATTGTGTATGCAACACCGTTGGGAAGTCCAGAGGAAGAAATCTCTGTCGATCTGGTCGACGAAGAGTATGACAAGCGAATAATTGACGGTGAACTTGGATTTGGCGATGATGCCAATCCGAATAATGGCAAAAGCAAAGCAGCAAAACAATTACAAAGCGTAGCAAAGCAATTTGGCAGCATTGGAAAAACGATGAGCAAAAAAATCAAGAAGAATATTGGCTCAATCACAAAAATTGGCAGCAACAATAGTAATGGCGGCAATGGTAAAAATGGTAAAATTAAAAATGGTCTGCCATCCGGTTCGTCGACGCAAAGTTTTACACGACAACGTGTACTTTGTGCACAATTAAAAGCCAAACGGCATGATTATCAAGATGAAATGATAAAAAATTATTTGGAATGTGCACAGGATCGATTCATGGAAACGGAACGAGCAAAAGAATTACGGGAAATTGAACAACAACAATTGGATATGATGAAAGCAAAGGCCGAATCACCAGTTGAACCGGAACGTGAAACAAGTTGTATAAATGCTGGATGCGCAAATTATGGTACATCGGCCACATCATACATGTGTCCGATGTGCTTTGAAAAGCAAAAAGAACGTGAACTGAATAATTGCAATGGTTTACAGGATGGACCACGTTATGGAACAGGTAACTCGAAATTTTATACGCATGCTGATGAAAAGAGTCATAAATCAATTAAACGATTACCATCATTTCGACGGCTCAACGAACAAGATCAAACGCTGTATCTATCGAATTCAACATTTTATAATGATGCACGACCACAAACAGATGTCACATCAAATGAATATCGACATGGTTATACAGAAACAACGGGCAAAACGGTCATCATTCCCATTCGCATGGAAACCGATGGAACGGATTGTGTTGATAGTGGTGTGGCCAGAGCATATTCGGCCGGCAATACATTGATACAGAATGGCAGCAATTATTCAACATCACACCCACCGCCGCATAATATTCTTGGTATTGGCGATCCACCCATCTCGAATGGACCGTACACAAGTACCATCAATATTACGGCTGCTACGGAACCAAAACAATCGAATTTAACTGGCCGACATCCACATGACGTTTTAAAAAAGAACAATGGCATCATTTCATCGTATCTGGAACATATTGATGATCCAAAATCTAGTCGTATCGCTACACCATTTTTACAGGCACAACAATGCCGGACCATCGATTGCAAATTCTTTGGCAATGCCAACACCAATTTCTATTGTTCTAAATGCTGTCAACAACAACAGCAGCAACAACAACACCATCCGAAAACACAAAGCAAAATTCTAACTGACGTTTGAATCTCTTCTGCTTACATCTTTTTTTAGTTTTATTGTACATAAGCCCATTTAATTTTGCCCATTTTTTTGTCATTTTCGATTGGTGATGACTTTTTTTTAATTGACGAGAGTAAAATAATTGGCGAATTCTATTTATTTTTGTACATCACATTTATCTCGCATAGAAAAAAAATGAACAAGAAAAATCATCTATTCTTTCAAAAAAAATTTTTTTTTTAGAATAAGTACTTTTTGATAATTATCAGAGCATTTAAATTTAATTTCACCACTTTTGTTCAACAAAATTGACCAAAATTTTTATTCACATATTATTTATGCTTACAAATTGCAATAATTTTTTTAACGAGATCCATACTATAAATTCTCAACAAATTCAAAAGGTCGAAGAAGAAAAAAGAGTAAAAGGTTAAAGGAGAAAATTTTCGGGAAAAATTCTTAAATTCAATTGACATTGATTAAATTTTTGATGAATTGAAATTATTGAAAAAAAGAAAAAAAAATCGCATAGAAAATCATCTGTTAACAATTATTTCCTGATATGACATTTTTCATACATTTCAATTATTTTCTCAATAATTTTATATTGATCAAATTCGAATTTTTATGTACACTAATTTGGATTTAGTTTTAAATTTGAGTTCAATTTTTTTAAAAGAAAAAAAAAGAACGTATTGACAGCTGTTGAATTAAAAAAGAAATTCATATTTGTTGGAGATAATTCAAACAAGTTATTTTTTTAAAGTATTTTACTTGGTCATCCATTCAATTTCAGCTTCGAAAAATGTCTGTCAAATTGTATTTTCGGCATAAAAAACTACAGGAACAAAAAAAAACTACGTAAACTACTTGAAAATCGATATACTCCTAAGCACACACATCACTACTATAATTATAATAGAATGTGAATGATTGAAGAGAATTTCTTCGGCAAAATATGAGACCAATAACGATTATACAAAAACATATACGCGTTGCCATTCATGCAAAGAACTTTCACACAATTGTTTTTATTGTCACAAGAAATGTTGTGTTTTACAGCAAATATAAAAACATTGTTTGCTCAATTTCGATCCGAAGACCTACTCCTCTTTCATTCACAACAGTATATCTAATCAATACAAAGATAAAGTAAAAAAAAATATCATCATTACACTCACACATTATCAATCACCAAAGAAAGCCATATAAGAAATGGTTGAATAATAATATGTTTTTTTGCGGCCCAGGGTTATTTGATACGTCTTGTGTCACCAATTCGGTAGATTCGGATTGAAATGACGAAAATAGTGTTCAAGTGAAAAAAAATAATCTCATTGTAACAGGCAGTATTAAAACAAACGGCAGCTCATGACGCTGAATTTTTTGGCAATTCTATTGTACAAATTTTGAAATAGTTGATTGGCGTTTAAAAAAAAATCTAGGAAAAAATGTGTTCGAAAAACATACTATTACAAAAATTAAATAATAATTTAAAATAATAGATTAAACTAAACTATTGACCATGTTTCGCAATCGAATCTCGTCCGATTCAAGAGACAAGTGACTCAAGTCATATCGAATTCCCTTCTTCCAAAAAAAAATCATACAAAACTAAAATTACATTATATTCAATCAAATTGCAAGAAAACTGATCGATAAGGCTAATTCACTGTTAATCTGGTTTCAAAACAAACAAAAAAATTCGTCGAACTGATTTGTACAAAAAAAAGACAAACCTACATACTACACAAATGTTGCACTCGAAGTCATGAAACCAAAATTATAATTTCGAAATGCAAGCAAATAAAACTATTCAAGCTATATGACAATGAATAAACCCAAAGTGGTAAAGTAAAAAAAAAATATTTGCTTTGAAACGTCCCCGACTTGTAGCTTGGTCTATACTCTATATTACAAATTCATGCGAACATTTTGGGATTTCGTTGATTTTCACAAATAAAGCTCAAGATTTGAAATAAAAAGTGCAAATCAATTAAATTTCTTGTGTGTAGCATGATATTAAGCCGATTACTCGAGATTTTGCGCTTCACAAACATATTGTTGAATGTTGGAAATGTTAAGCAATTTTCATTGATATATCTGATTTGATGACATGTATTTACAAACATGATTGAATCTTTTATTTTTTAATTTATATTTATCAGTAGCTGTAGACGCCAATTTATACTCTATCTGTACACATATAGATTGATGAATGCAATTGTGGTATAAAAAAATATGTTCAGTACTTCGATTCAAATCGAATGAATATAATATATATAAAGAAAACTGTTTATTTGTAATGTGCCTTCTAAGCAAAGTAGAATGAAGTATGCAAACAAACAAAAATTATGTTAGGACAGTTCACGTTTCAAGGCGCTACACGTCATTCTTTTTGTTTTCTTCAATTTTGAATATTTTAAATACCAATCACACACACACACACATTGATTTAAAATTGTTGAGCTTATCACAAGATACAATGTATTTATTAACCCAAATGCAAAACACGGAATGAACTAAACAAAATAATTATTAAAACAACAACAAAAAAAAAATTTATTGAAAATATTCAAGAGTTTATTTATTATGGATAAGCAAATGCAAAGCAAATATTAACGATTTCTGATTTATCATTTTAAATATGTGTAAATAAATAAAAAAAAACCACTTTTATTGAAATAACAATGAATATGATGGAAAGTGTTCTTTATTCTTCTTCTCATATAGATTCAAACTACATCTGTGTCCGATTTTTGTATTATTAACTACTTCCAACTGATAATATTATTCTTAACATTGTTTTCGTCGAGATTAGTCTTTTTTCTTGACAACGTGTGGTAAATCATAAACACCTCGAATACATTTAATTTTAACGCCTGGTGTGTCACGCAATCGCGCAATTTTACAAAGTACGACATTGTGTTCTTGTAAATTGTGTCCTTCGCCTTGTACATAGGCCGTCATTATTCTTCCCGTTGACATTCGCAATTGAACACATTTACGATTTGCTGAATTTGGCTTACGTGGCTTTTTGATCAATGTACGCAACACGACACCTCTGCACAGTGGTTTACCATCAAAGATATGCCGTTTCTTTTTCATTGTTCGAATATATGGTATGCGATGCATTTGCAAGAGTCTATCTTCACCAGGTAGTTTTGCTGGTTTCAACGACTCCAAGTAGTCGGTCACTATCTTTGGTGTCAGCGTCTGAATTTGAGTCAATGGCACAAATTGACGTTCGGCGGTTGGTGGTGCGCTCAATGACGATGAGAAGGCACGAACATTTTGTTGAACACGGTTCAACGCTGAAATTGAGAAAACAAACATTTGAAAATACATCGAATGTTGTGCATTGAAAACATAACCTAAAATGAGATGGAGAACTTACATTGATTGGCTATCAAGCTGGTGATTGAAGCAACACGCTTCAAAAAATTCATATTCAATTGCTTTTGCTTCACCAAAAATACCGATTTTTCTGTAGTTTTACCAGTTTTCCACGATAATTTTGCAAAAAAACATCACCTCCTCACATGAACTCTGCAACACACAGCTTTCAATGACAGAAGCGTCAAATTGTGACGGACGGAATCGTCAAGTCGCTTAAAAACGAAGAGGCCTTCGTATTATATGGACAAATTTAGAAAGATCAAATTAAATGAGAACAAAAATAAAACATAAAAAAATTGGTTGTTGCAAAAAGGAAGAAGAAAGAAATTCCGAAAATCTTTCTTCAAATGAAATAAATATGTAATGATAAAATGGATAAAAGAACTCCGTAGAAAAATATATGAATTTCCAGTAGATGGCACCATCAACGCCAGGTGCGCTGTCATTATATTCCAAGTCAATTGAAAAGCAAATGCACAAAACCAAACAATCGACCAGAAAAATTGTACAAAATTCAATAAACAAATGAACACATCTCTGTATCACTTATTTAAAATAAAAAAGTAAAAGTTTTTCGAAAAAAATACCACAAAAATGGACGATAGCAAGAAAAAACACAAGCGTTCGGTGAGTAATATTCAATTTTTCACACGAAATTCAATGCGTATTCTTATCCGCATATTCTGACACATCATATCGTTTGATCAAATCAAATTGATGATACTTGTAATAAAAACCAATGGATATAAGCCAAGCATTATCTTCATAGTTTTTTCCCCGATTTTTGTTTCGGAATTTTATTTAAAAAGTATTCACAAAGAAATGTCTATCAAAACGCAAAAAAAAAACACGATTTCATCAAGTCACACATTTATTTTTAATGAAAACTTGCACTTTTAGAAAGAGGAGATTGCCAAGGAGTTCGAACTACCAGAGCGAAAAAGTAAGATTGCAACGATTATGAAACATGATGAAGAAGCTTATTGTATATGTCGATCATCCGATTGCTCAAGATTTATGATGTACGTATATATGAATCAGTCAAAATGAGTTGTATTAAATCCTTTCTTTCATTCCACTTTGTACATAGTGCGTGTGATGCATGTGAAGAATGGTAAGTAATTTTATTTTATCACTTAAAAATTACTTACTTATTATTATTGATTGTTTTACGATTATTTTTCGATTATTTGTCGATTATTTTAAATTAATTCTTTTCTTTTGTGATTCTTCCCTTAGGTATCATGGTGATTGTATAAATGTAACCGAAAAAGAAGCGAAACATATAAAACATTACTATTGTTTGAGCTGCAAAGAATCTGATCCATCCCTGCAAACTGTATTCCGTGCGGTGCCAGTTGCTGTGGCCGGCATCACTGCCGAAGATCGTAAGGCAAAGAAACTGGCAAAAGAAGCGAAAAAACGTGAAAAAGAAAGCGCTCGCGATGGCGATCGAAAAAAGGATAAAAAAGAGCGAGCGACCAAATCAAAAGAACGTTGTGGTTATTGTTCGGCATGCACGGCACCAAGTTGTGGTGAATGTAATGCATGCCTTGCTCGTCAACCGGGTCGAAAGCATCGATGTGAACGTCGTATGTGTCTGAATGCCAATTCGAAAAAAGAGAAAATTGCATCGCGCGCAAAACGTCGTCGTCGTTCATCCAGTCCGGAGATTTTCATCAATCCCGAACTCGAAGGTACATAATTTCATTTGTCGTTCATCTAATTCGATCAATTGTTTTTTATTGATTTTTTTTATTAATTTATGTTTTGTTCGTTTTTTACTGAACATTCTGTTCCCTCAAAGGTGATCGTCAGTGTTATGGACCAAATTGTCGAATGACCTCAAAGCCCCAATCGAAATATTGTTCCGATGCATGCGGTCTAAAGTTGGCCACCAGTCGTATTTATCAAGTATTACCGCAACGCATCCAAGAATGGAATTTATCGCCGTGCAACGCTGAAGAACGGAATATCAAACAGTTGGAAGTGATTCGTGCAAAACAGGTCACTGTTCGTGCAACATTGGGTGAATTGGATAAGCGACAAAAAGAATTGGATTTATTGGTCGAGCGTGCAAAACATTGTACACTCGATCCAAAAGCACTTGAGACCACCGAAGAAGATGAAATGTCAATGTATTGTATAACATGTGGCCATGAAATTCATTCACGCACGGCCATTCGTCACATGGAAAAATGTTTTAACAAATATGAAAGTCAGGCATCGTTTGGTAGTATTTTTAAAACTCGTCTCGAAGGCAATTCTATGTTTTGTGATTTTTATAATCCGGCCAGCAACACATATTGCAAACGATTACGAGTTTTATGCCCCGAACATTGTAAAGATCCAAAAATAAGCGATGCAGATGTGTGCGGATGTCCGTTAGTAAAAAATGTTTTTGAATTGACCGGTGAATTTTGTCGGGCACCGAAAAAACATTGCTTTAAACACTATGTGTGGGAAAAGATTCGACGGGCCGAAATCGATCTGGAACGGGTGCGAGAATTTTTAAAACTGGATGAACTTATGGATCAAGAACGACAAGTTAGAGCCGCAATGACATCACGAGCTAATGTTCTTGGATTGATGCTACACTCAACTTACAATCATGAAGTCATGGAGAGACTATGCAGGCAATCACAACGACAACAACCATAATAAAGAAATTACAATTCATTTTTCTTCCATTCAGAATCAATAATAATAAATCATTTTGTATTTAACAAAAAATATGTTTGTAATTTGTCTTATTTATAATATGAAAAAAATTAAGCAAAAATCGGCTCGAGGGGTGGTTCCAACTCGTATTTATCGTGATTATGCATAAGCTTAAATATTCCAGTACCGATTGACGCTGGCATTCCCAAAATAATACGCTCCGATACACCGTCTACAGCGTCGGTTTGACCATAGTAGGCCGCATCGAAGAGATGGTCGGCTGTTTTTTCGAACTGAAATTAAAAAAATTTATTTTATTTTTGTTTTGGAACATTTCTGAGATGGAGAAATAGAAGAATATTAAGTCTTACCGATGCCAAATTGAAAACTGATTCTCTCATTTTGGCCAATCCATGCCGAGTGATACCAAGCACTTCACCGCGACTTGTCATTTGACTGGCCAAAAGCATAATGTGTCTGTGATCGACTGTCATACCGTGACCTTCCATCACATCGGTGATTTCATTCATGATGGTTGTTCGAGCCGCTTCAATACCTAGAGAAAAGAAATCAATGAAAATATTGAATACATATGAATGGGGTAGAATAAAAACTACTTCTCGAAAAATTGCTATTTTAAAACGAAATCTAAAAAAAATTTCAATAAAAAGTGAATCAATTTTTTTTTGTCCAATTGAAGTGAATCAAGAAAATTTTGTTCAATAAAAGTGAACTAAAAAAAAAATTTCACTCGGTTTTTTCAGTGTAAAATACACTAAAATGAATTTTTTTTTTGGGTTCACTTTTATTGAACAATTTTTTTTTGGTTCACTTCAATTGGACGAGAAAAAATTGATTCACTTTTCATTGAAAGTTTTTTTTAGGTTTCGTGTTTAAACATTTTTCGAGAAGTAGTTTTTATTCTACCCCATTCATATATAGAATGTATTGCCATCCACAATATAATGGAAAAGAAAGAATCAATACCCAAAGTTTGATACACCTCCCAAATGTTATTGCTCCTAGTCTTATGGCCAATAACACCGTACGTCGCCATTACTTGTCCCAACCCAGTTCCTTCAACACAGAGCTTATAGCTTTCCGGTTTGGTTTGGTCATCAACAGCAATTACGGCACGTGAAACATTCGGAAGACCAGCAATCACAACATTTGGAATTGCATTGACTAAACGAGACAGCTCAGCATTCAAAGCATGACCGTGTTTCACCGAATCTGGGCGAACCAAAATCAACGACTGACTGTAGACCATCACATTTTGTGGCTTGAGGCGGAGTTTTGAGGTGCAAATTCTTGAAAACAAAAAGAAAAAAAAATATTTAACTTGTACCAATAAATATATCTAAAAACCATAAAACTCACGAATATTGAATGGTTTCAGCGTTGACCTCAAGACCTAACACCCGAATACGATCCAAATCAAGTTTGATGACTAAAAAGCAATCGGTTGGTTTGTAAACTTCTTCAATGTAAGATGAAACCTTGAGAAAAACATGAAAATAGTTGAATTAAAAATAAATGAAAATAAACCTCTTCAAAAATTCCGGTGAATATCAATCAGATTACCTCTCCCAAGGTGGTCTTCTCAATGCGTGCTTTAATTTTTCGTGCATATTCCATGTCATGCTTGAGTATAATCTCTGCGGTGATGACCGGCGTTGATATCATTTTGCTGGCATTTATAATTTCCACAATACGTGGCACTCCCTGTGTGATGTTCATTGAAGCGACACCAGCAAAATGGAAAGTTTTCAATGTCATCTGTGTTCCGGGTTCACCGATAGATTGAGCTGCCAAAGCTCCAACAGCTGTGCCCGGTTCCGTTACCGCTAAATTGTATTTATCTCGAACGGATTCTAGAAATTTTTCCACTTGCCCAGCGGTTGTTCTTTCAATTTGTTTCACCACCGGTGATTTGCATCCACTATACGAATTTTGTAATGATGTCAAACGTTTTCCATATTTTTCCAAAAATTCCAATGATTCTTTCTTAAAATCGCTGCGTGCCTCTTTGAATTCTTCAGTCTCAAGTATTTTATTGGCGGTTGAAATGATTTCATCGCCACGCAACGGTTGCTCATTTTTACATGGATATTTTGCACGTAAATGCATCATTTGACGCACCAGGTCAACCGGTTTTGTTTTTGTTTCCATAAAAACTGGATCCAAACCATCACCGCCATAAATAAATTCAACAATTTCACCGATCGCATTTCGAACGGAACCATCATAATGAACGACCAAATCTTCCAAACATTTTACCAAACGACGTTGCAAATAACCTGTTTCCGCTGTTTTGACAGCGGTATCGACTAAACCTTCACGGCCGGCCATTGTGTGGAAAAAAAATTCGGTCGGTGTTAAACCGGAATAGAAACTATTTTGTACGAAACCACGAGCCGCTGGCACTTTGGAGAATTTTTCAAAATGTGGCAATGCACGATCTTCAAAACCATTCGGTACACGTTTACCTGAGGGGGGAATCACAAAAGAAAAGAATAAAATTTAAAATAATCGATAAGTAATCGGAAATAATCGTAAAACAATCAATAATAATTAATAAGTAATTTTTAAGTGATTTGCCCCTTGCGTTTACCATTGATGGCCTGTTGGCCCACACAAGCAATCATTTGAGATATATTGATGTTTGAACCTTTTGAACCAGACTGGGCCATAATCAATGCACTGTTTGTCGGATGCAATTCACGAAAACACGCTTTCGCCGCCAGCTCACGAATACTGGACAATTCTTTTAAAATGACCGCTTCGAGAGTTTGCTCCGGACTGCAACCAGGCTGACATTGTAATGTTCCTTTTTTCATTTCGTTGATGTATGTGTTACATTTCTCATAACCTTTTTCCAGGAGCAATTGCTTTTCTTCGAGCAATTTTGCACTTGGCGTTACATCACCAATGCCAAAGGAGAAACCACGGTTCATCATGAAATAAGATGCCATCTGGAAAAAAAGTTAAACCATGAATGATGTTGCAAAATGGAGAACAAATGGAATCGAAAGTATTTTACCCGTGCCAAACGCCACATCGCCTTTGTTGACGGTTCTTTTCCAAAATCTCTTAAAATTACGTAGAAAATACTACTTTTTGTTCCTGAACCCAAAGTATTTTTGTCCATGGAACCGCACATCAGTTCCGAATTACGAACGACCACATCTGGAAAACGATGAGAAATTATGGTAAATGTTTATTGATATTTTAATTTTGCTTTTACCATAAACTTTGGTAATTAAAAGAAAATGATGTTATTCAACTTACACGAATCTTTAACACACAAATCTTTGTTATTTGTGTAATTTTTGCCTCTAGTCTCGAGATTGACCATAACAGGATCGTCTTTGTTTGGCCGAAGCAGTAAGTTGAAAATCTAAAAAAAAGTCACAAATTCACCATTAAAAACACGGTTTAGAATACTAGGTAGAACAAGAACCAAAAAAAAGCTTCCACTCACTTGTTTCCCCGTCCAAAGTCGTCTCGGTTTCAAAATGGCAGGTGTCGGAATATCAAGCATAATATTCGCATCAGGTCCGGCTAACAAACAAGCTGCGAGTTGCATCACTTGTTCTTTTGTCAAAAATTCATCCTTTTGTGTGAGTAAATAGCCGCCCGTAATGAAATCTTGTGTGGCTGCAATGAGCATTTCACCGTTTTTCGGTGTGACCAAATTCGATTGATTGCCCATTAAAACGAGTGCTTCAGCCCGAGCCTCTTCGGTTTGTGGAAGATGCAAATTCATCTCATCACCGTCAAAATCAGCATTGTATGGCGTACAAACGCACTCATTAAATCGAAACGTTCGTTGCGGTTGAACTTTGGCCTGATGTGACATGATACTCATTTTGTGTAAACTTGGTTGACGATTAAACAGAACAATATCGCCATCGGTAAGATGACGCTCAACAATATCGCCACGCTTCAAGTCTTGAGCGACTTTCTCTCGATTACCATAGGCCAAGTATTTTTTGAATGACAATCCTTTTTGTTGAACATAATTTGCGCCCGGATGCTTTTCAGTGCCGTTTCGAACGAGTTGCTTCATTCGCTGTAGATTTGCATCATTGACTCGTTCGGGATATGTTAGAATTTTGGCCACACGTTCGGGCACACCCACTTGATGAATCATCAGATTTGGATCGGGTGAGATAACAGTTCGGCCAGAGAAATCGACACGTTTTCCCGATAAATTACCACGGAAACGACCTTGTTTACCTTTCAAACGTTGAACTATACCGCGAGACGATTGTCTGGGCTACGCGTAGAAAAAAGCAATACAATTAAATTAATTTGCGAGATAAAAACTCACACACACAAAAAAAATGTTCAATGCACTTACCAACATTGTCATTGGAATACCGGACACCTCGCTATTAAAATATAATGAAACGTGTAATTGTAAAAAATCCCAATCTTCTTGAACTTGTTCAATTTTATGGCCGCTGGTCATATGTTTGTTGATTACATCATTGATCAATAAAATTTCGCTTTGTTTCATTGTCAGGTCATCTTCAGTGGTTCCCGCTTTAATTTCCGACACAACGCTTGGCCGAATGCATACGGGCGGTACAAAGACTCGTGTCACTATCAAATTTGCTGGATTTGAATCAGGCGACGTCATGCCAAGTAATGGCACATCTGATTTTGGAATTCTCTTGAACAAATCCAACACCTGCAATGGATTCATTTCGCAGATCATTGAACTCGGTCCAATCATTGAGGCCAATTCTCGATTTCGTGATGTTGCATCTTGCAATTCATGCAAATGTTCTTGCATGATGGGATCGGTCGTTTTCTTTCCACGAAATGGTTCGTGCCAAATTTTCATCAAACCGGGACCCTTCTTTACCGGCCCATTGATTGCACTGCAATTCGGACATTTTGTATGTTTTTTGGCTTTGGCCAATATTTGAGCTGTTATCGACTTCTTCGCCAAGTATGACAGATTTTGGTTTAATAAGCGTCGGCCATACACTTGCTTATCGGCATCTTTTAACATCACACGAGCGCAGGTCTGTGGTTCAAAAAAAAATTGATTGAAATATAAATTTCACAAGCAACGTTGAAAGTTATTCTTACCTTGCAAATGGCCTGTAGAATTTGAATGGTTGAACGAAAATGACCAACATGATAAACTGGCAATGCCAAGTCTAAATATCCAAAATGTCCGACACATTCATTCAATCCTTGGTTGCAAGTCACACACTGTGCATCTTTTTGGCTTACACCCTGAAAGGGATGGTTTTTGTCATTGTTATCTTATGCGGGAAAATGTACAAACTCACCATACGTCGATCCAAAACACCGAATGCCATTGGCTGTCGTCCATCATTGTATAGATTCTTTGATACAATCCTAATGTGCGCCTCTTGTTGAATCTCCTCTGGACTATCAATTCCGAATTGTACGTGTGATCTATATGACAAAACAAGTTCACAATTGAATTATTAACACGATTTTTTTTAGAGAAAAAACAAATTACACTCACATTTTCTTAATTACGTCAGCTTCACGAAATTGTTCTTTCGGCATTTTGATACGATTCTTATGACGAAAAATTGAAATAAAACTAGAAAATATCCAAAATTTACTCGAATGCGTGCGACCACATTGTTGTCATTTACTAGAATATCACACACACTGATGACGTTTCAATGAAAAAAGCCGCTAATGACAGCTGTCAACGAAACTGTCTAACATTTTTTTATGTCTAATTTGACAAATTGTTATGAGGCGCAAAATAACGAAACAATTTTATGCTTTCAAAAGAGAGATTTTATTCTTTCAATTGAGACTGACAAAAAATATAGATGAATTACACGTTTTTTTTTCATCATTTAATTTTCTTCGATTTTTTGGATTCATAATTTCCTCTGAATTTTTCCTATTATTTGAGCTACACACATGATTAATATTGAAACATCAACATCTATCGAATAATTTGTATTGTTTTCACATGCCGAATTTGATTATCGATTTGTTTTTTCCTTCTGTTATAACTATAAATAATTTTTAAAAAGTGCCGGAACAAAAAATCCAACAAAAAAGTCTTCGTTTTTTGTGTATTTTAATCACAGAAAGTTTCAAAGAGATCAAAATCAAGTACGCAAATTTGCCACAGGCAGACACTTGGATATTTCATAATATTTTATAAATATGCTGAATTTTCCGAACGGATTGAGCGATTTCGAGGTTTAAGGTATCGTTGGAAAGGTATCAATCTCTGGAATAAGAATATCGATGCTTCAAGGGTCAACGACATTATTTAGTATCATCTATGATCGTGAAACTGTTTTTTAAAGGGCCATATTTTGTTGATAAGTAGACCGATTTTCAATGTTCCATGTTTTTTCTTCCAACCCTACATCAATTCGGGCCAAAATAATGCAAAACGATGACTTATTCATTCAGTACATATTTCCAACATTAATTTCCTCCCAGATTTTCTCTTTATTTATTGAATAAATATAACCAATAATCATTTGGTTTAGCAAAATATTGAATAAGTGAGGTTTGTTTCGGTGATTTCGAAATTGGGTTCTTCTTATGAAATTACAAAAAAGACATTTCATGGACTGCCTTCCGCTGTGATATAAGACATTTTATTTGCGATAGAATGTTGGATTCTTGTTCATTCCCTTTTAAAAAGTCAAAATAAATTTATTCAGTTCGATTTCTTCATTACTACGTACATTTTTCGATATTCGATTCCACATTTTGACGCAAGTCATGATTTATTTTTGTTAACAACGGTGATTTGCCACATCCACATGAATTCGTGAAGTCATCTAAATCTAGAGCCCATACCATAGGCCAGTGTTTATTTTAGATGGTGTAAATTAATCTAGATAAGATATAGATAAAAACAGTTTTTTTGGAAACCATCTAGCTATAGATAAAGATGAGTATCTAAAAAAACTATCTAGATACCATCTATATAGTATCTATCTAAGTATTTTTTCTAGATACTTTTCAGATGAAAACAAGTGAAAGCCAATTTAAATATGTTTTTCGACGCATTTTTTTATTATTATTAATTTCAAGCTAATCATGCGCTACGACGCTTTTCTTCCATTAATATTCTATTCGAACTGATTATGATTATGCGTAACGAGTCGTAACTTACGACGATTAACAAAAAAAAATTATTTTTTTATGAATTACTGTCGTTTTCCCCATCCATTCTCGACTATTTTTCCTTGTCTTTGTCGCCACTGGACGACCGACAACAAAAACAAAATATATATATGGCAGAAATAGAAAAAAACGACCGCAAATATGAAAAGAAAATGTACTTGATTTTGTCATAAAAAGACAAATTGACTTTGTATTCGTCGATGTATTCATTGATCTAAACAGTGCCTTATGTGTAATTCTAATAAAAAATATCAATCGTAAACAGAACAAAATAATTACGATAAGTTAAATAATCACCGAATGATTCTTTTAATTTCAAATCATTTTTTTTATTTTTCCAATTTGCCAAATAGCCATTTTATATGCATACATATTGATTTTGAACCTTTTGTCAATTCAAATGAAGGTTAAAATATCCTTTCTTCCATACGATTTTGATTTTCATCTTTTCGCGATCTAACGAAAAGATGTTTAGATATCGTTATTATTTCTAGATAGATATTAGATTAGATGGTCAAATTTTGAACTATCTAGATGAGATGTTTAGATACCATCTTATCTATCTTATCTGAGTATCTAAAAATAGATTGTCATCTAAAGCAAACACTGTCTATAGCACCACCAAGCCCCATATTCATAAGATATTCAGTTTTGGTTGAAATAGTATCGATGTCATCATAAGAAACCCACTGATCGCCGCTATACGCATATGGGCCGATTCGATTCTTAGCATCACGTACAACTGTTCATCCATTGTTCTTGGTATTGTTGCAAATCTCATAGAATGACGTAAATCCAGTTTCCTCGGTGAAAATTCCAGCATTACCACTTCCAGTTGATGGATCGTTCATTCCATTATTTTGTGAGTTTTCCAATGTGAATGTTCTGCCATAGAGCGGAATGCCCAAAATAAGTTTCTCTGGTGCTGCTCCTCTTTCAATCCAATAATTTACTGTATAATTGACGTTAAGATAATCATATTTATCGCCGGGATAGTAATAAAGTGGTGCAACATGACCTGTTTGATTATCATAACCGCCGTGATAGTCGTACGTCATCAAGTTTATGTAGTCCAAATGTTCAGAAAGTGCCGGAATGTTATAAGCTGCATCAGAAATATTCTTGCCGCCTGCTACAGCAGCTGTCAATAGCCATTTATGCTCTTTAAATTTTTCAGATAGTTCTTTAATAAGTTGCACAAAACTTTCCTGCTCTTCAGGGTTTCCATCTGGACAAACTCCAATTCCTACCTAACATGCAGGGTACTAAGAATGACTTCTACCGTTCTATATAACATAATGTGCTGAATTGTTTCGCCACAGTTTATTGATTGAAATAATATTTCGCATGGCTTCCTTTTCACGAAAATAATATTGAAACGGCATTGTATGTTTGGCGTTAAATAGTTGTTGAAGAGTTTTATTCACGATGATTATGACCCAGAGGTAGTTAGAGCTATAGGCGATTGCCTCAGGGTCATGTCAACCTATAGCCGATGTACACAATGTATCAACCATCCGCGACATTCACTAGCTTCGTTTTCTTGCTCAGCCAGTCAATGCGATTGCGACTCGAATGGTGTATGAAACGATCGTGCAAATCAAGAGAGACCAACTGAAACTGATTGAATGAACCGATGAAAAGCCAACCAAAATAACAATTTCCAATCGGTAAAAAAACACCAACGGGCGCAAGTCCTTTAAAATGTGTTGCATAAACTATACAACATCAAGAGATTCTCTATGTCAAATAAAACTGAACATTTAACAACATCAAAATATCGTCGCATCGGTGATTACGGTCTGCCGATTTCGATCGATTTCTCGACAATCTTCTTGATTAATTGTTTTTCAAAATCGGATTATCTCATTAGCCTTTATCTATTCAATCAATTATTAAATTGTCTTATTGTAAAAAATTGAACAATTAACACGATTACTTTTTTTTTTCATTGTCCTTATGCATTATAAAGTTACAGTTTTTTTTAATAATTATATGTTTGTCGGTATATTGATACTCGAAAAACAAAGGAATATTAACTGGGTCTCTGCAAGAGAAATTTATTCAATGGAAATACTGTAACATATTTTATATCGAAAATAACAAATTTATTATATAAATAATAAAAATCACTCTTGATAGCCAAATTCTAAGGAAAAAAAGTGAGATAAATTTTTTTCTTTAAACGGAAAAACTGAATGAGGCAGAAAATTAATTAATTAAATGATTTAAATCATTTGATCAATTTGTTGCCTCCTTTTGTTTTGTGATTGTTGTAATAGTGTAAGTTCAAATCTTGCTTATATTTATAACTCTTTTCACACTTATCACATTTGAATCGTTTGCCGTTGTGATGCCGCTCAATATGCCGATTCAGATTTTCCGTTCCGCTAAATGCTTTATCGCACAATTGGCATTTGACCCTTCCTATGATGTGTATCACCCGTTTGTGTGCATTTAAACTTTGCTTTTTATCATACATATTGCCGCATTCATCGCATTCGTATTTTGGTGGTGGTTTGTCGGCGGCGGTGGATGAAACAGGCTTTTCTGTTGTCACAAAATTTAACCATCTGCTGTGTCCATGTATCTTCGTCGTGTTGAACTCAATTCCTTCGATTGCCTCAATATGAGCTTGGTCATTTGCGGTGGCCTTACGTTCGAAATGATGGGAGATTTGGTGGTGTCCTGTTACTAATTCACTTCCACAAATGATGCAGTACACTTTTGTGCCAGCAGGTAATTTGCGTTTGCAATCATTCCATACATCTTTTCGAAAGAAATTATCTTCTTTCATGGACTCTAACAAGTATAAGCCCAGTTGTATTTCATTATCGAGTGACTTCAAAACATTGATCGCTTGTGTTGGTACCACTTCGCCAACCTCATTCAACATTTGAATGCGATCGGTTGGGTCGAGGATCGATTTTAATGCCTCGTGGACACATACCTCATAAATGATGGGTGGCATACAAATTTCTTTGAGTACCACCATTTCGAATTGTTTTGGGTATGTGGCCCCAATCATAACGATCAATTTGGTGTAGAAAACATCTTGACCAACACCAAATACTTTTCCATGTAATTTAGATTTGATCAGCCTAATATGATGAAGTGGTCGAAGGGTGCCGAACACTCTATGACTATACATAGAGTTTACCTTTGCTTTGCTTCCCCCCGTGTACACTTCTTTATCTTTATACATCATTTTATAGCCGATGCTGTTCATGTTTTCATATTCTTCTTTGTACATCGATACGAGCTGATCGTACAACAACTTTCCATCGATATTCTTAACTGCAGTTTGTTTGGGTCGTGCCAGATGAATAACTGGATGTCCGTTTGGCGACGTCGACGACTCTATTTAAAAATTATTGAAAATGACCACATTATGAAAAATGATTATTTATATTGTGTGGAAGGAGAGAGACGTAGAAAGAGTGAGAGAGAGAGAGAGATGAAGAAAAATACTGAATTAATTAGCAATCTATTGATTGCTGATCCATTATTTTTCTACATCTCTCTCTCGTTCACTCTCTCTTGCATCAATTTCGATTTCTTATAACAACAATATAATTACCGTTTTCTTCGGTTGGGTCCAAATCCAATTCAATACCATCTATAACGTCATCAATAAGATCCTCCACAAAATCAACATTCACAGCTGCCGGTGACCATTCGCTTTCGTCGAATTTTTCAATTTCAGTAAACTTTTCCAAACATTCGAGAAAATAGAGTCCAAGTCGGATTTCTTGTTCTGCTTTTGGTAATATAGTGATGGCTTTTCTCGGCACGAGTTCGGCTCGTCCATTCAATATCAATTTTCGGGCATCCACATCGTATGTGGCTTTGATAGCCATGTGAACGGTAGCCTCAAAAATTTTAAATGGAATGCATAGATTTTTTAGTACGACAATCTCGAAATTGTCATTCGGGAATTCGTTGCCCATGGCATTTAACAATTTTGCATAGAGTCCTTTGTGTGTTCCATCATAACTTCCGTTCACTGTTGCTAAAATGTTGGAGATGTGTTGGATTGGTCGATATGTTCCACAAATTGAGTCATACATAGTAGATCCGATTTCGGCACCGCTTCCACCATAGTAGCGCAACTTCTTTTTGTAGCGATGAATGTATCCGATGGTCATCTGGTTCTGGTATTCATCTTTGTACAATTCGACCAGCTGATTGTACAAATATTGTCCAGTTACATTCACCACGTTTTCCTGTTTTATATTTGCTATGCGAATGCATTTCTTGGCTAAACCAATAACTTGTGGCTTAAACCAATCGATTTCTTTTGGCTTTTGTCGGTGGCTTTGGAATGTTTTTGTTTGTAGTGGTGAATCTAATAATTACACACAAAAAAGATAAATAGAATGTATTCGAATATTCATAAATGTGTGTGGGGTAGAAAAAAAGAATTATTTACTTTTCTGTTTCTTTGGCATCGCCGACAAACGAATGGGTGTTTTGGAGGTTGCTCGGTTTTTCTCAATTTTCTCAACGTTTGCTGTTTGATTTTCTACAAAATTAAATAAATAAAATGAACACCACATTCATATAATGTTAAAAGAGAGACGTAGGAAGAGTGAGAGAGTGAGAGAGAGGAATAGACTGGATCAATTGATTTTAATCAATCAATTAATTAATTCAGTTCATTTCTTCACTCTCTCTCTCTCGTTGGTTTTGTCTCTCAACTTACCACCATCATTCGTGGATTGAACTGTGTTTGCCTGTTTTTCCGCGAGTTTGTATGCACCCGAAACAGCCGTACTTGTGACTGTGGTAATGAAAATATAGAAAATTTGGTTGACCAATAAAAAAAAACTGATTGATTGAGTGATTTACTAGCATACCTTTTGCAACGACTGGCGGCAGTGGAATGGTTTGGCTTTGTTGGTCACTTGATGTTGTTAAAATCCCACGATCATCGATGCCTCGGAAAACCTCTTGGTTTGTTTGCTGTCTTTCATTTAGCGCTAAATTTAATTGTAATCGGGAAAGAATGAAGTTTTAATTTATTTTCGTTAAAATGATATGGCTCGATACACAAAGAGAAATGAAACATAATTGTATGGTAGGGTTTTTTTCGATTTTAATAGCAATCTACATCTATTACGACTTATTTCACATAGTTTCGAGAGCGGAAGAAATTTTTGAAAGTAGCCAAAAAAAAGATAGAAAAAAATTCGATGGTATGGATTTTTTCATTTGACTTCACAAAATACAATCATAACAATTAATTTGGTATAGCTTTGAGAGTGGAAGAAATCTTGGAAAGTATTTAAAATAGATGGAAAAAAAATTCGGTAGAATAGATTTGGTCAATTTTCCAATGGCATATATACCTTTTGTAACAAATGGTGGCGGTGAAATGGTTTGGTTTTGTTGGCCACTTGATAGTACCGAATTTACATCTTCATCGACAACAGTTCCTTGGGAAACCTCTTGATTTGGTTGCAGTGGTGTTACAGATGGCAGTGAATCTAATTGCAATGGGAGAAAAAAAATCGAATTTAATTTTCTTTCGTGGTGGTGAAATGACACATTTTGAAACATGATAAACATTCAAAACAAACATTTATTGTTTGAATGTGGTCAAACAAGTGTACGAAAGAAATGTTTTTATATATTGTGCTGTCTTTAGATTATTTTTTCCAACACATACCATTCAATTGAAATGCCGTCGCTGGTGTTTCATTTGAATCATTTAATATTGCAAATGATCCAGATACAGCTGTGGCGACTTTATTGTTGTCTTGTTTCTTGAAGTAACGATTAAGCGTACCATTCGCAGACGTTTGAATTTTATCCAAACATCGCTTCTTTTTTGGTATCGAAAATGGTGTGTGTGACTTCTTTATCGATTCAGATCCAGTCGTCTTTGTATTGGTACTTGAGCCGGAACCGTCCATTTGTTTTGGAGCAAAGAATCGTTCGATCGTCGTTGGTACTAATGAAATTCAACGGGGAAAATTAGAATTGGATAATATTTGTGTTTTGGTGTTGTTTAACACTTACCGCTTGGTTTTTCAACTTTGGTTTTTGTACTTTTTGCCTCCATCTCCATCATCCATTGTGGTAGGGTTCGTTTTTTAATTGGCTTACGACCAGCGGCATTATCGTCACTTGTTACGACAGTGGCAGTGGCAGTGGCAGTGGCAGTGGCAGTGGCAGTGGCAGTGGCAGTGGCAGTGGCAGTGGCAGTGG